TTATTCCTTGCTGCTGACTTTGAACCGTACCTGCGCATTAAGACTGATGGGAAGCCACAGAAGAAAAAATCGATACTAAGTAGATTTGTTCTACATTTCCTGAGGTTGGTCTTGCTAAAAATATCTTAGAACTGAAAAAAAAATCAATAAACACAATTTTTATCATCATGACTTTGATTGTCATGCTCCAAAAAATCTGAAAAGCAATTGGCTCCACTTTATGCCAGATAGATAGAGAGACTGAAGCTGAGTAGGTTCCATCCTCATTATCTCATGTGACAAGGATGCTGAATGCCACAGTGAATTAAAACTCCACTTTCCTCTTCTGGCAGCTGAAAATGAGCCCATTTAATGTATATTTAACAAGGAGATAGACTAAAACAAGCATGCAGCAAGGATTTTGCTCCGCTTCTAGTGTTTATCGCACCATGATGGCTATTGTTTCCACTTTATAGGGAGGTAACTCACTCTCCAGTCACTTCAACTAAACGGGGTTTTTGCCATTAAGCCTTTTGAGATCCAGATTCCTTAATTCCTTGACTTCTTTTCTCTTTATACGCCTTTTACTCCTCTTCTCCAGCAAGGCATCCTGCTTTAAGTGTTTCAGAAAGGCCGGATTCTAGTTTCGTCAATTCCTTTTCCTCTTTCTGAACAGCATGGATTTTTTTTCCATCTTTAACATCATGAAAGGGATCCTCATTTGTACGGTGTCATCTCAAATCTTTGTCAGTTTCTGAGATCTACAATTCCCATTTCATATATAATATCCCATATAATAGTGCACTGGCTTTTGCGAACAATGCATTTATATAGACAAGGAAAAGCTCGTCATAAGATAATGAAGAAAATGTAAAAAGTCAAATGTGGGTAAACAGTTCATACTGAGGTCCACGGTTGTTATCCATTTTAAATATTCACCTTGTGATTTTAATTCTGAATTTTTCATTTAGTTCAATATAAAGCAAAGACACTCAAGGATATGTGCGGTGAGGATGATGTCCATGGCAACACTGGCAGTCATGAATGGGCTCTATTTGTAAACTTCAAACACCATAAACATATTCACCTTTCAGCTGAGAGTCTGGAACAGGCTCTCAGCTCCTGACCTTCATCTCAGCAAATACAAAAGTGTACACACACGGAAAGCTGCATTTGCTGATACCAGTATCTTCATGCGCACACACTAAGCAAATAATGTTTCTCTTATACATAAGCATTAGGATTTTCATTTGCAAACAAAGAATTTTCATTTGTAATTCATTAGCATAGGCAAAAACAATGTGCATTTCCTCTACTTGCAAGAATCTATTTTCATTAATTTTAAAGGTTCACTTAAGGAAATTTTTTTTTTCCTTTTAACAGATGGTTCTGTGGCTGATGGTAAAAGCAACTCACAGTAGATGAGAATACAGAGCCTGAAGACTAGATTTTTGAAAAAAGTATATTGTAGAATACATACTATTTTAAGTGCTTATAGCTTTTTTTTGTGTTTTTTTTTGTTGTTGTTGTTTGTTTGTTTTTTCCAGTAAAATTCTTTCTTTCTTAAGTTTATTCAAGGAAGTTATGGAGTACTAATGTAGAAAATTTGCAACATTTTGCATAAAGTATCTACTTTAACAGTAAATTAACTAGAGAGCTATTTTAGGGAATTGTTGGTGTTGAAACCCTGGAAGTAATGTATTTTCAGGAGTAAATGAAAACTATCATCTTATTTGGATTTAATTTTCAGTTTCAGCTAACCTTGTTCTAAATACAGACTATAATATTTTATATTTGCTTTACTCTAATATAAAAATATTCTCCCATTTATGTTTAAAAACAAGTACACCTTAGAAAATAAATTGAAATATAATGCTAAAACATATAGCAACGGATTAGAGTTCCGATTTTAGCCATTTTTTCATACAATGCTATCCAAATATTATTTTACTTTGAGTAAAGTCAAATTAAATAGTTCCGAATACAGGATTTCATAGAGCACAGTATAAGAGCAATCAAACTTTTCATCCATTATACTAATTCAGCTCACAATTATTTATTAAAGGACTTTTTAGCACAATTTTTGATCTCTGCAGGAATTAACTTGGAAATATACAGCATAGTTAAAAACTCTGCTGCCTATTTTCTTCTCTTATGTTGACTTCCCGATCACTGAATAATTTTTTTTACGCAAAGCAGCAATGAAAAGAAAGATGACTGGTTTTACTACAGCTGAATGACGAGGACCAAATCCATCTATCAAAACTGATTAACGGGACATAAAAATGCAACAGTTTAGTCTTAAAATTCTAGCTTCATTACAGTATTTTGGTAAGACCATAATGTACTGAGGAACCAGTGTGGATGAAAGAATTCTATGACATTTTCACATACTTTCATTTGCCCATTTTAAGATATTGTTAATCATGGCTTGATGTAATCACAAAACAGTCCGGAAATGCTCTGAGGGAATGCCAAACAAACTAATTTATAGCCATTGCAAATAAAAAATTACTGGGTAAGATTTCCTACTTACCATTACTTGAGGTCAGAACTTCAGCCAGGGCCTGACTTGTAGTGAAGCTGTGCAGATTTACGTCCACTAGGGACAAGGGGTAATGGTTACAAGTTGAAACACAGAAGTTCCACCTCCATATGAGGAAGAACTTCTTTCCTGTGAGGGTGACAGAGCCCTGGAACAGGCTGCCCAGAGAGGCTGTGGAGTCTCCTCTGGAGATCTTCAAAACCCACCTGGATGCCACCCTGTGCCATGTGCTCTAGGTGTCTGTGCTGGAGCAGGGGGGTTGCACTAGATTATCTCTAGAGGTCCCTTCCAACCTCAACCACCCTGTGATTCTGTCATCTGACACCCGGTTTCCAGTATTTCACCATGCCAATAAAAAACAAATTGAGTTCCAATTATTTCAGGCATGTAGCACCAGTGTCTCTGGACAAATACACCTTACAGGGATCTTACAACTGTAATTAGATCCCAGTTTTGTGATTCACCACAACTTTGCCACAACACGAGGCACTGTGAGCTCAGGCATTAGAACTGAAGACAAAAACTCTCATAAGCAACATATAAAGATAATGCATTAATTTATAGACTGTCTATCTTAATACTTCAAAGGCACAATTAAAGAAGAAATTGCATTTGAAACACAGGCCTGATTAAACTTGCTAGGGTTCTAGCAATCTTCTGCAGTGAGATACTTGGTGCTCTATCAGTATTCTGCAGTATCTTAGGGTCCTGCTGTCAGACACTCAAAAAGACAAGGAAGGTTTCTGTGGAATAACAGAGGAGGAAGGAAGGAGGGGCATGGAGGATTCAGTAAGGATAAAGGATTACAAAAATGCTGGAAAGGAAAGGTATTATGACCTATTCAGTCATAAATCCACAGCTGGATTCTGCAGAAGGCCCCAAAATGGCTACAGTGGAGGAGGCAGAAGTAGGTACTTAGAAACCTTGTATTTGTGCAGGCTCCTAAGACTCCTAATATTCCTTCCCTTTAACTATTTGAATATTATTTCATTTTTAACTGAAGTGTCTCACCTATGAGGTGAATGCTACTGTTGATAAATATTTTCTTCATCTTTGGATATTGGCAGGAAAAAAGAGGTATCAGTTGTCACACCTCAGGAAGCACCTAGAAATCTGATTTCAAGGTAATCAAAAATAAAGTCAGAGTTGGCCTTAAAAATAAAATTCAGGAAACATAAGAAACTACACAAGAAAAATAATGTATTTGAGAACATTTTTAATAAATAATGTGACAAAAATTACTTTTCTGATTATTGGATCTTCAGTATGCAAAATTATGGCTAAAATATGAGGTTTCTTACATGAACATAATGAAAACATTAATCACATGGATTGTTCCTTTAGTACTGCACACCCTTTCTATGTAACTGTTCTTTAAAAATTAGCTAAATGAAAAATTTCAGTCTTCGGTAAACACCAAAACACTTTTTTTCTTCTTTTTTTTTTCTCATTGGGGCTAGTCCTGATAGCTGTCCATAAACAAACACACAATTTTCCATTAGCACCAATGACAAATAAGTTTTGCAATTACAAAAAAGATCATAAAATCTACAGACAGAGACATCATTTGGCAAATTCAATGCAACTAATGCCTCCATTTTAGCTTTGATGAAAATCCAATGTTGAAAGAGGCCACAGCAAAATTGAGAATTTTCTGTAAGTCCAGGAAAAGTGAGAAGTGTTCTGATTATGGCCCACATTTAGGTTTGTTACTTTACCATCTGTCATCATTCAAATACTCCAAATACAAACATAGAGCATTAACAAAAAGATGAAAAATATCCCAAACAAATGCTTAACATTTTCAATAAGACAAAAGGTTAATAGTTACAATGGTTTACAAACAAAGTTTAGTGATTGTGCTTTTAAAACCAAAAAAAAAAAAAAGATAAGCAGTGCATTACAAAAAATAACCCCCAAGATCAAACAAAACTTCTTTAAGTGGCACTTCTTATTTAAGGTGAATTGAGACAAGTAGAGGTCTGAGATTTGGGCCAGTAACAGTTAATGATATTATCCATGATCATTAAAAATGCCCATTGATTTCCTTGCTTATTTTTATAGGCATTATTGAGGCTGAAAATTAAAACAAGTTTCAGATAAACTTCCTCATGCCGTGACTAGACAAAAGCGTTTATATCAGCTTGCTGCCTGCCAATCCCAAAGGACATTTTTAATAAGAACATACATAATGATGAAAATGGAAACACAAATTAAAGTACCACAGGGGATTTAAAATGAGTACATATTTACAATAAGAGCCACTTCACCCCAAATTGATCCTAGTTGCATCTGTAAAACTGTTGCTTCTGCAAAAGGTTAGCAAGAAACTAGCAAAAAACAAAATGCAGTCCATATTGAAACTGCGAGATACCATTTGCACTAACTGCAGACTACAGGAAAATCGCTCCAGTAAGAGCATGATGTTCGCTTTATGCAACTTGCTACCCAATGGTGTACAAAACATTATCGATTGGCTCTTTAGTGTATGAGCAGTGCACTGCACACTGCTTTTGAGGGGCAAAATGTAGGGGTTCCAGCTTTTGCAAACCCCTCCTGTTCTAATCCTGAAGCAGCAGCCGGCTTAAGCACCACGAAGAGCAGCTTACCTGCCTTCTTGGGCAGTGACGGTGATGCACTGAGCGCTACGGGAGAGGCAAGGGCTGTTCCTAAGGAGGAGGGTTTACAAAGAAATAGTAAAATAAAAACTAGCATTCTGATGGCAGAAAGAAAAAAAAAGGAAAAATTGTACACTCTGATTGCACTGAAGATTATTTCTGGCGTCAAATATCATCAGACTTGAGGCATCTTAAGTGATATTTTTTCTGATTAGATTTTAAAAGCCTGTTACAGTACTTCTCATGTCGTCTTCAGCTTTCTGTTTCCTGTAAAAACACAAAAATCAATACCTACATGTTAGATATTATTAAAGTGTGTTTCACATCCATTGTAGAGATTCATTAACTTTAAAGAAGAATTACTTTTTATAATTATGTTCAACAACATGGTTGCCTGCTGGGTACCCCTTCCAGAATGAAGATTCAAGTTAAATTAATACCAGGGGAGGCAAAATAAGAAAAAGGGGGAGGGAAATTACATGTCTTTCAATTTAATACTAGAGTATTATCTAGAGTTACAAACTTTCAAAAAAATGTGAAAGAAAAGTGTAAAGGTGTTCTTAGATAATCTACTTTTTTATTTTCACATTTCAAACAATCTGGATAATATAAAGTCTGCATTTTAATATTTTATTTCTGCAAGCTGTGTTCCATAACTTTTAGTATGAAGATAGTTAGTTACACTTTATCACATCTTACTTGTTTTTTACATTTTTGATACATCTTGATGGGGCATAACGATAACGGACAGAGCAATTTACTAATTTTCCAAAGCGAAGTATTTCTGGCTCAAAACTTTTTTTTTTCTTGGTGTCTATCTAAAGAGTGAAAACTCTATTTATCTCTAGTAGTGCAACTGCATTCACCTCCAGCTCTTCTTCTTCTTCTTCTCCTTGTTCATATGCTCCCAGTACTTGCATTTCTGCAACATTCCTCCGAGCTATGTTTGCTTGATCTGCTCTCTGTCTACCTCCTGATCCTCTTGATGACATAGAGCTGGAAGAACTGGGATCTCTGGGATTATTTGATGTTGGAAACGTTGGTCTAGAATATGGCAGGATGTCCTCTGTATAATGAAATACATACACCGTTATGTTTACAAGCTCTGAGATACTGTGATCCTAAAACTTCTGCATATTGTTCATTTGTCTTATTCTTTATAGTTGTCAAAGGGTTTTAAAATATGCCTGACAAGAACAGGAAATAAGATTGTTTCCATAATAAAACTACAGAAGCTCTCCTGAGGAAATATATAATATTCACAATGTAGCGTTCACCACAGGAAAACTAATTTATGAGTAATGTCCACTTCATCTTAATTTATGATCCTTGGTCTATGTTCTATGGGAAGATGAAGAAAAAAAAATGGTGCAATACATTTTCCATATGCCTGAGTAGAAGGAAATAAAAGCATGATATTTACCAGAATAAGGAGCATATTGCATCTGAATATTAGACCCTGCATTTTTCAAACTGAGTTTTAATAATGCAGACATTCAAATTAGCTTTCATACATGACAGAGGCATAAGGAATGTTAAGATGGAGAAAGCCAATCTGTGTTTTCCATAAGCTTTTGTTTCCATTTTGCCCTAATGAGACTCAGCAATGTGACCTGCAGTAGCACTGTGTAATTTCAGACGAATGGTCACAATTCAGCAGATCCAACTGCACTCTCGCCAGCAGCGTGTGAGACCTTGAAGACGGCCTCTGCCCTCTGCTCAACGCTCAACACTTTATTTAACTCAGAACATGCAAAACAACCTTGAAGAAGATGAGTTTTTGCTGGTGTGCCTTCTCGTTTTGGTGCTTTATTTCCTCGCAGCTTCCCGTCGCTTTGCTGGTCCTGTGTTTCTCTCCGCTCTCCCGAATTTGTCCGCACATCCGAGTGCTGCCTCCCCTCCGCCCCTTCCCGCCCCTTGTAGCTCGCTCCCTTTCGTTCTGCCGATCTGTCCGTCCTCGGCTCTATCGAAGCGAGTTTTGGCAACAGGACCGGCCGCACCTCCAGCTGCGACTTGGATGGGCCGGTTGGTGATTTTATAGCTGGAGGTGGCACGGGAGGGGGTGGCAAGTCTAAAACAAAGTTAGAAAGAGAGAAACAATTAAAATGGTATCCTGCACTAATAGCTTTAGGAGGTAATATCAGACTGCACTACTTAATTTGAGCCTACTGCCCATTTCTCCCCAACTTAAAAATACGATGGTACTGTTACGGCTGCAACTGGTTATTCTCCCAAACCCCAAGCTTTAAAAATGCAAGCTAAAGACCTCTCATAGCCTTTTCAAATCACAGTGTTTTATTGGAAGTCATTATCTTTAGACACTTGGATATTAACATTTCACCTATTGTCCTTGCTGATATTTATCATTGTTGTTAAGCCCATACAACAGCACAGCAGCTTTTGCTACAGTAGTTCAAGGTCTTCATTGTACTGAGCACCAAAGCAAACTGGCTGCTGTGTTAAGAATGTATATCAGCCACACGGCTGATAAAGCCAAGGCTGAGTTGTATTAATTATTGCATTATTCCCTCAAACTAAGAAGGAACGAGTTCATCCAACATACTCCTGGAGACATTCAGAATTAGTGGGCATGCTTTAAAATATCAGCAGCATCCTTTAAATCTGCTCATGGGTACATCATGAGTCATTAAAAACATATTCAGTCAAAGAAATAACGTGCGTGTGGGAAGAACAAAGAAATAAAAAGACACACAAAAAAGTTTAGACTTTGTCTCCCTGATTTAGCTTTTGCTGCCGTATTGCAACACAATTCAAAAAAATCTTTATTTTAGAACAGTACCTTAAACAGTATTCTAAATCTTTATTTGATTACATTCTAAAGCTATAGGAACAACTGGCTTTAGGATAAGAGAAAAACAGGTGAAAAAAAACCTGATGCATAAAGGGCTATATTCTCAAGTGAGATTGCTAAAAAAAATGAACAGCAATGTTAACTGAAAAATGTAACTTCAGCATTTTGTAACAGTCTGCATTCATTCATACTACATCCACAAAATGTCTTGGAGTGGTTGTGTTTTTTAAACAATGCTCAGCTAATTCACAGTGTAGGAGAACACATAAGAGGAGAAGATTTGAAAACCAACTAAGCTGGCCCAGGAATAAAGGTGGTATTTCTATACCTAGAAAAACGGGAACTTAACTCAAATGCAAGTAGCGGGATATGGCAAGTGTCAGAAATTTTTGAGAGGTTTTCCTGTGACACAACGCACAAATGAGATGACGTAGCCATGCTGAAAGGTGTAGCCATGCAGAACTCTGCTCTGTGCAAGCTCGCTCAGCGCCATGCTCCATGTTAAGCTGGTGACATAATTTGGAATCGGCCTGTTCTAAAGTAGCCTAGAAACTGGAACAGTCGACAGCTGGCCTGCGACGATGAGACAGAAAGACTCAGGTCTCAATTCCTAAGTTTGGACATTCTTCGGGTAAATGAGGCAGGAAATATTGTTTTGGCTGCACTAGCTCCACTGTATCTACAATTCAAATAAATAAATAAATAAATAAATAAATCTACTATTGTTTTAATGAAGAGTTCCTTGTCTTGAATAAGGGACCCTTACAATAAATCCCTATTACAAGAAATACAGAAACTTCTTTCCTCCCATTCCTCTTGGCTAACTACAAATTGGGAATCCGGTGTAAATTCCATATTGCTGTTTGTTTGTTTGTTTTTGTTTTTCAAGTTTTGGCAGTCTAGGGAACCTGAAAAGTAAACAAGTGAATACTGACACATAATTCTAGGCATATACTTAACCCTCCTGACCATTTTCAGATATCTTTTAAGAAAATGCATTGTCATTCCAAAACTTGAAAATCATAGTGTAAATTAGCTGGAATGCTTAAATGAACAAGAAGCTTGGATATACTATGGCACATTCCAGACTAGAAAGTAAGAACAAAGGTCGATTTGTGACCAAGGGATTGGACTTGTTTGTCTGAGGGAAGAATAAATATAAAATAAAGTCTTTTCTATCAGGAGGAAAGGCAACTCCTTATTTAATACTCTAGGAATTAAAATAGAATTTCAGGGGAAAAAAAAGCACAGAATCAGCCATGAAGCATTCCTTCACTGTCCCTAGCTCTTTCAAGGCAGTTCACTGAGATCCCTCAGTTGTAACCTCAGCAGCCACTTACAACCTTACCAATGAAAATCTCTAATTCCAAAATCATAAGCATTCACATCTCACTTCTGTGCATTTAAAAAAAGCTCTGTGTGGGCTTTAGCAACCTAAGAGCAAACAAAAAGATGTCACCTGTGTTGTCCAGCCTTGGAGATGCTTAAACTCAGTATGGGGCCTACAAGTTTGGACATTTGGATCTGCAAGTAATCTAGCTGTGTAAGCTTAAGTGTTAATATCTGCTCCAAAAAACATTCTCTGAAGAAGTAACACACCCTTAGAATCATAGAATCATTATGGTTGGAAATGACCTTTAAGATTATCGAGCCCAACTGCAAACCCTTCAACACCTTGCCTGCTAAACCATGTCCCTAAGTGCCTCATCTACACGTTTCTTGAACACTGCCAGGGATGGTGACTCCACCACTTCCCTGGGCAGCCTGTTCCAATGCTTGACTACTCTTTCCATGTAGATATTCTTCCTAATGTCTCACCTGAACCTCCCCTGGCATAACTTGAGGCCCTTGTCCTATCCGTAGTTATTTTGAAGAAGAGATCAACCTCCCCTCACTAGACCACCCTTCAGGTAGTTGTAGAGAGCAATAACATCTCCAGAGCCTCCTCTTTGCCAGACTAAATAACTCCAGCTCCTTCAGCTGCTCCTCATAAACTCTGTGCTCCAGTCCCTTCACCAGCTTCACTGCCCTCCTTTGGACACGCTCCAGCACCTCCATGTCCTGCTTGTAGGGAGGGGTCCAACACTGAACACAGTATTCGAGGTGCGGTCTCACCACACCTCGCACAGGGACAATCCCTTCCCTGGCCCTGCTGGCTACACTGTTCCAGATACAAGCCAGGAGGCCATTGGCCTTCTTGGCCACCTGGGCACACTCATGGCTCATGTTCAGCCGGCTGTCTACCAACATCTTCAGATCCTTTTCTGCCGCGCAGCTCTCCAGTCACTCTGCCCCAGGCCTGTAGTGCTGCATGGGGTTGGTGACCCAAGTGCAGGACCCAGCAGTTGGTCTTGTTGAACCTCATACAGTTGGTTTCTGTCCATCGATCCAGCCTGTCCAGATCCTTCTGTAGAACTTTCCTACCCTCAGGGAGAGTAGCTCTTTCTCCCCGCTTGGTGTTGTCTGCAAATTTGCTGAGGGTGCATTCAGTCCCCTCATCCAGATCATCAACAAAGATATTAAAGAGAGAACTGGCCCCAACACAGACTCCGGGGGAACGCCACTCGTGACCAGTTGCCAGCCAGTTCCTTACCCAGCAAAGAGTACATCTGTCTAAGCCATGAGCTACCAGCTTCTCCAAGAGGCAATGGTCAACTGTGTCAAAGGTCTTCTTACTAAAGTCTAAGCAGAGCATGTCCACAGCCTTTCCCTTATCCACTTTGTGCATAGATCCAGTTATCATTCAACAACTACCTGAGAAATCATATGAACTCTGCCTAAGATTCCAGAATAGCCAAAGGTCTATTCCAAGAAGCCACAGGACTAGGTTCAGCTCCAAGTTTATCAACCACAATCAGTTATCTTCAAAAACATAGCTGGAGGTGGTGATGATTCCCACCTTTTGCAGAATGCTTTCAGTGATCATAGAAACTGCTCAAGATTTAGAAAGCCCCAACTGGACTCTTTGACATAGCCTAAGGAGATTCAAAGAGTATTTTCCTTCATCAGGAAAACATCTTCCTTACATGCCTATTCTCAGAAGAGTACACATTATGGATGGAGATACTCAAATTAGTCAATATCTTGCATCTGCCATTCCCTACTGACTATTTATATTAAGTTTTCAGGGACCGCTTTGCCCTTCTATGGACCCCATTGGTGTAAAGGCAATCTAGGCACTTCACACCAGCATCTTTGTGAGACAGCCTCCAGCAGTTTTGGTACTGCAATGCATCGGCTGCGTACTGAAGGCAAGGGACCAGAACCTTTGCGGTAGCCTATAAAACACAGCTTGGAACCAGCTATTCTATACAAGAATCCAGACACACAGGACAAGGAACAAAGTGGTGGTAAGTCTTGACTATGTAAAGGAAAAAGCACTGATATAGAAAATTTCATAAATAGCAATAGTTCTATGGTGCAATAATAACTAAAGAAAAGTGATATTCTCTTTCAAGAGCTGTGGCATAACCTGCAGGGAAACTATAAAAATCTTCATTATAAAACAGTACTCCTTGCTGAGAAGAATCCTATACAAAGAAAAAAAAAGAAACTTTCAGAGGTCAATGCTATTACACCCCTGTGGTATTTATTTTAACAGTTCAGATCACAGAGAAAATCCAGATTCAATCTGCCTGCTCTAGTACAAACCAGTGTGCTTGTTATTAAAAGGAAAATGGAAGCTTCCATTGCAAGAAACAAAATATGATTCACAGAGCGATGTCAAACCAATATAAAGAATTCAGGAGTACTTGGTAAAGGTCAGCTGTGCTCATGTTTCATTCATGTCTCTGTATTGCTTTTGTACTGCTTCTCGTTTACCTAAAACAATTAGCAGATGCCATTTAATAACATGGTTATTATATGGAAAACCTTCCATATATGTCTTTTGAAAGGAGGCATCATAACTTTCAATAAGATTCTGAACATATATAGGAATCATAGGATAAACAAAACAAGCTGGTTTGACATGGAGAAACCACAATTTAGTACAAAAAGGATGAATCATAAGTAGCAATGAATGAAGAAAGCAGGCCTTGTGAGGTATCTCTCCTTCTTAAGCTCTGTCACGCCAAAGACTTCTATAGTCATATCCATATGCACATATTTGTGCAGGCTTGCAAAACTCAGCATTATTTCTAACTCACTAAAATTTTAACATCACTTGAGACTTTTAAATGCGTAATAAACTTCTTAATATTACTCAAGTACTAAAGTTATTTTTATGCTTTATTCTTTAAAGAAACAGCTCAAACTGCACACAAGAACAAATACAGGAAAACCCAATATGATGCACAAAGGAAGTTTTCCACTTTCATTTCACAAAGGAAACACAAGTAAAGACTCTAAAGAGATCAGATATCCACATATGCTTATAATTCAATAATAAGTTTATTTTTGTAGAGGTAGCAAATGTATTCCTACAGTTTTTTTGTTTGTTTGTTTTTGTTCTAAACCTTTGAAATATGTGAAATAGATTTTTTTTCTACAAAGATAGACAGAAAAAAAGTACAAATGATGTTGGTATCCATAATAGATTACATTTCAGAATGGCAATTCATATAAAGAGTGGCAAACACTGATTAACATTTGCCTAGAATCAGGATTTAGTCTCCTGCAAATTGATGTCATTGGAATAGTATCTATTGAAAGACCTATACAATACAAGCAACTACAAAGCAGTATTATCTTGTTTATCTAAATGCTTACAATTCTGAGGGCTTGTAATTACTTATACACAAATTCAAGACAACAAGTTCAGAAGAGGTTTGCATATACATAGTTTTAGAAGAGACAGAAAAAACATTCTTTTAAAATTTGGTTTCTTAAATCAAGTATGTAAGTAGGTCAGGCAAGGTTGGGAAGGAGCATACACCTGTTAGTAGGCATCCTTAACTCTCTAAAAGACTAGATGAAGAGCAATTAAAAAAATCATACATTTTAATCCTTACCACCTACTGGGCAAAAATTTTTAGCAACAAATATGGAGAACATTTCGCTAACTGGATGACAGTCAAGGAACAAAGCAACAGAGCTGAAATTCTGTTTTACATAGAGCAGAAATTGCTTTCACCCAAATTAGCAAAGAATTTCTACCACAATGCAGAGGACCTTCTTTATTTAGAAAGAGATAGTGTCAGGCCTTTTACTGCTGCATTTAGAAACACCAATCCCTTTTAACAAACCTTTCTGTATAAATTAAACAAAGGGAGGATGTTATAGGACATACATACAATGCTAATAATACTCTTGGCATTTGCAACCATTCATGCAATGACTGAATTTCTTCATGTATCCTTTTTGTCAGTCAACACAGATATTTCATAAAATTGCTAGCAAGTATTTACTCAAGTAATTTGGGGAAACATGTATTCCAGTAATTTCCTTTATTTGTGAAAGCAAATTCCTTTGAAAAGGCTAAGAAGGTAATAAAGTAATGTATTTTCATCCTTTTAATACTTATTCAATGGTTCTAGGCATCAATAAATGTTTACATTAAGAATATCTGCTTTCTATGAAACGTGCATGCTCACTCACTAAAGGGAAAAAGAATTGTCTTTTTATTAGCTGCCCCTTTATAAAAATAATAAATTCCTGCATGACATCAAGACAATAGAGAAACCTAAGAGGCACCTGCAAAAAGTCAGTTGTACTCAAATGTTTCATTCATAGCTTCATACCACTTTTCCCCACTTAAGGAAAACAATTAGTAGGTGCTATTTTATAACTAACTCTAAAGGTACAGTTTTCAGTTGTGCCTATTAAAGTGAATAGTTATATTTTTCAGTAAGCTTCAAAATAACATTATGTAAATGGTCTGGGTTTTAAAATAAATAAATAAATAAAAGGGAAAAAAGGGCACCCCCCTCCTTACTTCCCGTCTTACAACCTTTGAACTGGGCTTTATTACTTCTGCACAAATTAAAACCATAATTTGCTGTTCTCTGAATGACCACACTGTATTGCGCATTAATTACAACACACAGGTTAGCAGAAATTCATATCTAATTAAAAATATGCTGAAGTAAGCAGGTGCTATACAACACAAAACAAATATTGATCATGATTGTCGAATCTGTTGCAATACCTAACCACAGTGCTCTATGATTTAACTTGATAGAATTGCTTTCACAAAAGCCTGTCACCAACTGTAGGTCCACCTCTTATTTATTCCTGTGTTAGAGGGAAGAAAATGGCCACATAAAACTCCTGTCCAGATTTTTATTTCTGATGTCCTAGCTCCTGTGTTCGTACCAGGGTTTGATGCGCGGCCAATTATTCAGTTAAGAGCATTCTCTTCAAGATAATAAAAGCTGATAAAATGTCCATAAAGTCTTGCAAAATGCCATTACAAGGGTCTCATAAATGTAACATTTCTGGTACAGTTTGGGGATTTACACCGTGCCTTGTCCTTTCACAGAAGCAAACATGCAGAAAACCACTGCAATAACCTCTCAAAATCAGATAATATTCCGGCAGCTCGGCTGCACTGACAGAAGGGGCCTGGGCATAAGCCAAGAGGCCCAGGTGCACTGTGTCATGCCAGTATTTAATGCAGTCTAATATCAGATAGATGCTAGTGAGCGAAAATACTCAGAATAACGTACAGATAATAGCACGGACAACCACTCATTGCTAAATTACTTCTGCTCATCATGCCGTGAGCTTTGTATTAAATTTTTTCGTCAAGTGGCAGGAATCATAGGGAGAAGTGGCTCACAACTCCCTTCTTGTAACCCTGGATAAGGATCTATAATATTAGGCTTTCATATGATAATGGCAAATGATGCCCCTCTTTGAAAAATCTCGCACTGGTAATGAAAGTCCTAATCAGATTGTTGTTGCTGCGAACAGGGAGGTGTGAAATGATGCCTTCTTCCGCCCTCTCCCTGTCAGCAAATTTAGCAAACTCGACAAGATGGGTTAAGTCTTTGAGAATTTATCTTACACGAATTCCCAACAAAGCCCCTGGGTTGTTTTATAAAACTGGAAGGTAGTGGTTTAATAAAAGCTGCGCCACCTGAGGCATTTTCATTAAAGGCTCTCTCTAGACAACATCACAATGTTTGCATTATCCTCCTCAACTCCCCAGAGAATACAAGCACTAGCTTTTCAGCAAGAGTTGATATTATGTGTGAAGGCATGAGAGAAGATGATTAGATTTTGCTTTTTGGTTCAGAAAGTAACTGTTTGCCACAATTTTCTGGTTAGGATTCAAATCCACTGATTTATGTTGCCTGCCATTTGAATAGTATATTGTTTCTGTAAGGAAAAAAAAAATGTTCTGAAGGATTTAATATTTAGCCATTTCAATGAAGATTTTTAATCCTAACCACACATTATTCGCAACTGTACTATTTATGCTATCTGGGCACTTAAATAATGACAGTAATTAGCCGATTAGGACACTACAGAAAACAGGTGCAGGGCTGTGGAGTGGAAGCATCAATGTACAGCATTAAGGAACTATGGCATTTCAAATGATTAATCTGTTCAGTGCATCTAGCAACAGGAAACACAAATCACCGAATTTTGAAACCTAATGTTATCTCTGTGGAAAAATTTCACACTCGCACATTGACTGTGTATTTAGAAAGGTTCACTGAGGTTTTCACCCATTTCAGTGGACTCACCATCTGTGTAGACTTCTCTGCGCAGATGTCCTGGCTGGTGTTTTTGCTTTTTGGCAGGTCGGACCTTCTGTATTACAACAGCACTCATGTTGCTGTCAGTAGACACAGGGCTGGTGGGTCTAGGACAGTGTGATGCATGAAAATGTCTTCGGCCTGAAAAATTGTTACAGAACAACCATGATTATTTTTCTCATCCCAAATCAAACGTTTTGCTCTTTCTCTTCTTTTGCATGAGAACTCTCCAGCTCTCTAGGACTTAAAATTATACTGTTAGAACATCAATGTAATTCACATTCTCACTGTGATCAGTTTTAAAGCAAGATATAACTAAAGGGAAACATTTGCCATCCTATTAATAGGCAGCCTGGCTCAGTTTCACAGAAATTATCCAGCTGCTTTGTAGCTACTAGGTCTTGCTCCAGGAACCCAAACTCCATCACCAGTCAAGCAGAGAGAGGCTTTGAGCCCAGCAGCCCTCCATAAACAACAAAACCTTCCCTTTCACAACGGGTTTCATCTCTCCCAGTTTGGACAGGACCAAGGTTGCCCCACACAAAGAACAGGTCTGCGTCACAGATGTCCCCAGCCCTGCTTTGAGGGAATTACTAAGAATGCATCTGGGATGTAGGACTGGCATTTTAACATGTCTTTTTTGCAAAGAAAATGTGCTGCCTTTGTATGATTTGTAGTCAGGTACAGGCAAGACTGATATATAAATATCACCCCACAGCACAAACTTCATTATTGTAAAATTATCTACCTGTATTAGCAACAAGATGTAAGAAGAAATCTTTCCTAAATATATAACCTCATGTGTATATACATGCATATTTATGTGTATGTGTGTGTGCATATACACATATATGCGTGCATGTATGCGCACACATACAGAGAAACATATATATAACATCTTATATGAACATGGGTAAAATTCTGGCCCCATAGATATAAATGGGAGTTTTGCCACATCCTACCTCAATGGGCCAGGATTTCATCCAAATTTACTAAATTACCTCCCCTCTCATTCTTCATGATGAACAGCTGTGTTGAAATGAAACAAAGGGCTGTTAGCTCAGAGAGGGTATCAGAAATGAGAGAGGAATTTTGCAGATCTGTGGAGTCAGTGTGGACACAGTTATAACTGGGCTCCTCCTCTCTAGGTTTGGCAACTTTACAGCACTGGCAAAATATCTATGGAGCTGCTTGAAGCTAGCATTCCATACAGTGGTATTCCTACTTCTTAGCTGAAATACAACAATATCCATCTGGTAATTATCAGGCCTACTCAGGTTGCTGACTGTCCATATACATTCTGTATTATTAATGACAAGTACTTTGCTAAACGTTAAATATTTCACACATAGAATTTTGTATCTCCAGAGATGATTCCGGAGAAAAAAAGAAGTCAGAAATACACACATATTCATAATCTATAATCTAACCCATCTCTAATGGCAGGTGTTGAATTAGTTTTTGGAATGGCTTGAACAGCATTCTGCAAAAAATAAGAGTGAAATACAGAATGGAAAACAACCAAATTAACATTTTCTTCCCCAAATCCTGGGGAAATAAATGTCAGAGGGTCTAATCTGAGGGTGTATTTCAATACAGTGGGATTAAATCCTTCATGAAGAGTGATGATTGAAAATACTAGGAGCCTTGTATCAGGAAAAGAGTAGAATTCTGTATTAGAAGAACTCTGAACAGAAACATATTTCACTTTCTACACGAATATGGGAATATTTAGTTAAAACAAAGATGGAAAATTTTCTAAATTATGGGCAAGTTTTTACCACAATTCTTTGAGGTTAAATCATAGCAAGATTGTTTTAAAAAGAGCATAAAAGCAATGAGTTTGTGGGAAAAAAAAGGACTTTAAAATCACTTGTAAGAAATATTTATTGGAACAAACTCCTATATCTACCAACATCATTCTCTCTGCTTAAGCAGTTTTCTATGAAATACTGCTTTCCAAACTTTGCTCCACTGATTTACAAATGATGCACAGCTAGGCAAGACTCTGCTAGACTCCCTCGGTGGAGATCCACAGCATTCAGTGGGGGGATGATGCTTGGCAATAATCAATAAGAGCAAATAATTAGAAACTACTTATGTCAAACAAGATATTGCAGAAATTTATTTGAACTGTTCCATCAAAGCTCCTTTTCTAACTGTTCACCTAGTACAAATTGCCCCTTTGCTGTAAGTTCAGTTGCAAGAATGCTAACCTGCAAGATGGGGATGCAAAGCAATTTCCTGCATGTGTAGATTTCTAAATGTTGCAAGAACATCAGTACGTGATTTATTTTTAAGTTACTGTAGAAATTCAGGAAGAAGTTGTGGATAAATACATGTCATAATGTGGTATTTTTTCTTACCCTCTCAAACACAAGATGAACTCACCTCCTGCAGCGTCCTGCATTTGACGTCTGGCTACTTTAAGGCCAGCGTACTCTGCGGCTGCTGCGACAGCCTGTGCAAAATCTGCATCAGTAAAAAATGATCCATCTGAGGAGCTCACACTGGACCGTCCACTTGAGATGTTGTCTTCTTCAGAGGCTGAACCCCAACCATTGATCATGGACCCTGTCACAGAGCTCTCCAAATCCCCAACGCTTGAGGCAGGTGTCTGCTCAAGGCCACGCAAAAGGAGTCTTCTGTTCTGCATCTTGGCAACCTCTATATCTGCTTCATCTTCTTCCTCCTCCGGTGCGTCGGTATCCATATCAGAGACCAACGGGCCCGAGATATATCCATAGGTATGTGGTGGAGATATAGGCCTTGGAGGGGGTGGAGGACTCACAGGTTGACGTCTGCATAAAAATACAAGGGTAGGAAAAAACGGAAGTCACAAAACGTAATGACACAAAAAAGTAAATTGCTGTAAATATTTCTTTTACTTCAAAACCAGCTTGACTTGCCACTTTTAGTCACTAGAATTTATATTTGAAAGGTGGAAAGGTCAGGGGTTTTTCTCCCTTTTTTTTTTTTTCCTTTAAGTCAAACTAATCCACAACGTTGTTTGAAATCTACCAAAGGAAATCTGATTTTTCATACAGTTCCTTCAACTCTGATTTTAAGGAAAAAATGGCTCATTTTCTTTCTTCATACAGCCCTTGTACAGCTAGGAAAGAGATGGTTACAATTCTTGCATATGGTTACAAGGATTTACACCTCCTTGAGAATGTGCGCAGAAGAAAGTGCCTATACATTGCTTTAGAAGCTTGAAACTACCGACCTGTATCCAAAGACATTGCTCCATCAACATTATCCCCCCAGCATAGAGATAGGAAAAAGACAGGAATTGAGGTATTGCTGTTTAATGATTTTTCAAATTGGTCTAGGAGATAATATAAAGAAAAATAATCTAGTTATCACATTAAATTTAGGTTTTAAGCATTCTAAAATGCATGAAGATGCATTGATTATTATATTCTGAGCTTAAATAATTACTAATGATGCCTCCAGCTGAAGGAGCCAAAGCATTAGACGTCATTAGATCAATGTTCATTTACTTAATACTTAACTCAGAAGTCTGTGTTATTAACATTGTCAACAGTTTTTCTTCATAAGGCCACGTGCACGCTCTTTAAGTGCCAATTGTCTGAAAGGAAGAAACACTGTGCAGTGGTGGCTGGGCTCTTGACTTCACTTGCCGGGAAATTCCAGGGCAGTCTGGTTTGCAAACATTCCAAAGCAATTTTCCTCTCTCAGATTTTTCCTTTATTTTTCTCCTTGGCAAATGAGAATTCTTATAAACTTTAAATCTTTGCTTTTTAGAAGGTGATTTTTCTTTTTAAAAATGGAAATACTTATTATTTCAAAAGGAAAAATGAGTGAAGAAAAATCTAATATTTTGTGGCCTGAGAAAATTGGAACCTCCCTGAGCTCATCTAACCAGTGCTTTTCACTCACTGTGTTAACTGTTAAATGGCAACGAAGACAAGGTCAGTTAGAGATATATACTAAATAATCATTTAATTTAAAAACAACAACAACAAAACAGAAGCCATTGCTGCCTGGGAACTTCTACCTGCCTTTGATTAGAGACCTTGCCCAATAGAGTTTTACTGCCCTAATTTAAAGCTCTTGTGACATCTGTCCTTGCAATATATTTGCCAGCCTTCCTGCTCTCCGGGTTTTGGTAGTAGGAGACAGGCAACTAGTTACAAAACATGTTAGGATTCCTGAAATTATAGCTTGCCTGCCAACCCTTAAGAATAGGCTAATTGAGAGCAGCTGTTCATGGGCAGATAGATTTAGCAATACTTTATTTCACTTTATCTGATGCAGTAGCTCTCGCCTTAGCAGCGACATCGTCTCCTATCTCAGCTCTCACTTTAACATGGACATCATCTGCTATCTCACTAAATCTTTAGTTTCTCCTTTGCCTGCCCAGTCTTCCAGAGCACAGATTTCTATTACAGTTACTATAATTTTAGCAAGCTGACTGAACAGAGAAATGTTACTATAGACAATCATCATCACAAGAATTATATTCTAGACGCTGGCTTCTCATAGGGAATGGAGATAATATGCAGCAGGACTATAATTATCAAACAGAGCTAATAAAAAGTATGTTAGGCTAATAAAAAACAACATAACGTGATTTTAACACAGCAATATTTTAGGCACTATTTTCACAACCACATATACAACAACAACCAAGAAAACTGACCAAGAAAGTGAAAACAGTACAGAGAAATGCACCACTCAAAGTGTCTTCTTAACTGGAAAGCATTGTCCTACAGTATTTGAAACAAAAACCATCTACCAGAAAGGGCTACAGCTGCTGAGCACACCATATCCCACTCCTAAATAGCAATGCCATGGGTTACATCAACACCAATAATGACAGAGGTAGTCGGTCAAGCCTTGCTGATAGGGTAGACAGAGCTGTGTGAATCCTTTTCAACTGAAGAAATAGATGTGGCACAGAAACACGAAACGGTGTTAGAAAAAGTAAATGAGGAAGATGAATTTAGTCAGAAACAATTCTAAGATTTTCATAAAAGCTAGGTTTAACCATCACAGGAATAACAAAATAATAAATGCATTTTTTCCATCTACTCAGTGATTAAGTGTATGCCCTAGGAGTATAAACTAGATAAAACTCCATATAAAACTCAGTCTTTAACTATTTTTGATGATATTTATTGTGATCAGCCATGGCTGTGTTGACAGAACATCCTACTTTACAAGCAGTTGCTGGATGGCCCTGTGAATTTTCATTTATCTGCACCAAGGCCTACTCCAACCTGTGTATCAGTATTCATCTCACACTTTGCCAAACACAGTGTCCGAGGTCACCCATAACAGGTTGTTCACTTGGCATTTCCCTTTTCCATTAGTGTCCAGCAAGTTTGACCTCTATATAACCCTTGAAAACTGAAAGCGCTTAAAATGAGCTCTTCTGTGCCCCGGCACATTAGGGCCAATCAAAATTACAGAAAATGTTATTAGCCACCCACTAAGAAAAAGAGTGATTACGAAGAGTCAGGAAGCTAAAAGAAGAGAAAAAGATACACAGTACAGGAAATGGTACCGTAAAGAATAAATACAACATAAGACAGACAAAGGTGAAGCGGAGAATAAAAGTAAAGGCAGATATAAGACCTTTCCAACCAATCAGATTAGATTACTACTGTGTACCTACAAAAGGAAAACTCAAAAATGAACTAACTTTTCAAAAAAAATCTGGAAAATACATCCATAATGTCCAGTTTATATTAATAAACTCAAAATCTAACCTATATGGCAGACACTATATTCATGAAATCACCATCAGCATGCGCTTTTCTAAAAACAGAAAGTATGTCTGGAATATTACAGGTAAATTGTTAATTAAAATATGTAAAAAACACTGAAGAAAAAAAAATGAAAGGGATATATTTCTGGATGGAAAAGCTGTATTATCTTAACAAAAAGTCAAGACAAATATGGATCATATGTAAAAAGCCTCATTCAGAATTCACTGTTTTATGGAACAGAAGCTGTGAGAGAGTATATGCAAAGTAGTTTCCACTAAAAGCAAGGCAAGGAAGAAACAAAATTTCCCTATAACAAATATCTGTCTTTATTAATGTTGGTCATTTCTTTAAATGAGGGTAGGTGGAAATGTTAAGAAAATTTGCAAGTAATAATTTACTGTATTAGGATTTATGAGAGGAGAAAAATCTATAGGTTATATAAATTATATATTTATATATATTCATACATATTGGTGACAAGTTAATTGCACAGTTACTGTGAAATAATGCATGCTATTTTATGGTAATAATGCAGTAAATCTATTGGAAACAATGGAACTGTAATTATATGGTAAGCTGTGTTAACGATAGCACTTTAATATCCTGATGACTGTGAATTTAACTTGTGTCAGCATTGCACGTAGCATAAAGTGAAATACTGCATTTCTTTCCCTGGTATCATAATAAAGCAACTTAATTACGTATTTCTAAGGTTACAAACAGTTCTCGCGTCCCAGGTCGCCAGTTAAATATTAACAGAACAAACACAATGGGGAGAATCTTGGCCTCACTGAATTCAGCAAGAATTGGCAGTGGGGCCAGGACGACCTCAGTCACATCTCGCTCTCTACATTTGCATTGACACACCTCCGGTCGGGTTGGTGTTGGATGTGTCCCAGCTCCTCCTGACAGTCCTGTAACATGGGCTGCAGTTCTTCCTGGGGAGAGGGGGTGAGGGTGGCAGTTGACTGGTGGCTATAGGAGACAGCGGCTGGAGAGGAAGCTGCTCCTCGAACGGGTGGAGTTGGACCTCGCTCATCTTCTTCCTCTTCCTCTAGCTCATCCTGCTGCAGATACATCCTTGCAGGTGGGACGGGACAAGGGATTTCTTGCTCATAGCTAAAATTAATTTTTTAAGAAAATAAGGACTTAAATTTTTACCGTGTTATTAGCATAGCTGATATATGTATAAATTGCCCAGAAAAAAAAAAACACCTTTGTTATTGGTGCTCTTGCAAATAGCTTAGTAAGGATGCACTGAGTGCCACACCACTGTCACTCAGCAATCTCTCTAACGAGTGACAATGCAGCTAGTTGAGGAGCACCAGAAAAGCTGAAGGAAGGTCTCACTGCCAGCTTGTAGGGCAAATTACAGTGCAATTAGCTAGCCAGTAAAGTAAGACTTAGGTGATATATTCATGTTTCTTACCTTTCATCCACTGAAAGACTGTAATCTTCACTATTGCTATGGGGAGGGGGATGTGCAGGAGGGGGTGGAAGGAGATCTGCCCAGTTCATGCCAGCTTGCTTGGGAGCCTTTGGAGTACGAGTACCCTTCTTGTGCCCTTGACTCCCTACGAATAAAAAGCAATACATATAGATATTTTTTAATATTTTCACAATTTACTCTTTGGAAAACAAAATAACCAAGCCTCATATAGCTCCTCCTGAAGTCTCTAGAATTCTCTGCTATGAGAATAAACTGGGAATAATCTGTGAAGAAGCTGTAAGCTGTGAAGCAGAATACACATTCTGTGTACAAAACTTGATTTTAACTAGAAACTTTACTATAACAAGGAAAGAAACATAGCTTGAAATAAATAGCCAAAATGCAGTAAAACCACAAATGAATTTTACAACCAATTTCATTAAGAGTGAGCTTCCTACTTCTATTAATTACATTATAGATTATTATCTAAAACAAATGAGCTGTAGACATATTTTCCAAAGTGCATTTCTATTATTTAATTGCTGGAACCTAAAATACAATATGATACAGATATGATCTATTAAAGTTCCACTGTTGCATTAAGTTACTGAATATATGTAATTTGTACTTGTCCACTGAAATGTTTTAGGCACAATGAAATTACTAGTTTTAGTCTAAATGGCAGGTGCAGCTGAAAATAATTGCTGGAAGAACTAAAATAACAACAAAAAAAAACAGAAAAAGCAAATTGATGAAGTATGGCACAAATGTTTTCAGCTACTATTACTGGGAAATTACAGCTCATAATAGAACAATGCAGCTTTAACAATTCCAATAACTTTGAATCAGGCCAGCTTTTCAGTTGCTCTTGAATTTTAGCTTTGGACACGGCTATGGTCAGAACTGCCTCTACCACGGTTTATTTATATACCTGTTACTCTTTCTCTGTTATTGATACTTCTTGAAAGCCACTGTATTTCTGAGCATGTTTTAAAGCAATTTCTAGTTATCTCTTCAACTGAGACACAGTTTTATATTAGCACAGTTAAGCCTATCCACATAACTAAAGGTGTTGCAGTGAGGCTTAAGAAACTTGTTTTCTCTCCTGCTCCCTCAGATTTTCCATAATCATAGTCATTAGTTCTGCTTCTCATTGTCCCACGGTAACTGCTAGATATCAGTATATTTTAGCTATGTACAGTTATTTTTTTTTTTGGTATCTTGGTATGTTAGGCAATACTTTAACTATCCTAAGCAGACCATCATATACATGGCATGGAGAGTAATATTTCTCAATTTTAACTTGCATAGGTTCATACCCCTGAGATGTTCCACACTGAATTTCAGATCCGAATGCCATTGAGTGGAGGCTTAGCACCACATCCTGGTGCTGTAGACCTCGGAATGGCCAAAAGGCTCCCAGAACACCTCTGGGCACCTGGGAGAACCAGGCGCCTTCCCTCATCTCACCCCAGTCACTGAGAACGCAGGTCACCCCAGGGAATAGCAGGCTCATTTACAAGTTTATGCCTCTTCCATGGTTAAGATGGAGCGCAGGTTAGGATTGAGGCACATAAGCTATCCATGGAGGAAGCAGAACAAAAAGAAGGAAGAGCTGTGGTCTTGGTTAGCAGAAGTAAAGTCCAGGAAGATTGTGACTGATCCATAAATCACCTTATAATCAGCTTCATGTAGGTAAACACGGACTGAATATCAGGCCTGTGGTAAGGCCCCAGACCAAGCCTGCCTGTTGTTTCTGAACATTTCACAGACCTCTATCAAGATTCAAAACTGAAAGCTAGTAACAGGTTATGCTCATAAAAGAAGTAATAATTTCTCAACTAAACTTGGCTTTGTGTTCAAAAGCCCAAAGTGCAATTTCACTACCCTGGTCAGACTTGCAGGCACAAAAAAATAAGACTTTTACAAAAGACTTTTAGACTATAAAAATAAAGGAAGATTTATATACATCTATATGTTTACAAGCATGTTCTTTTACCCAATAAAATGTAAGGGATTACATTAAAAAATAGAAAATTTCTTATAAAGTAGTTTTGTTAGATATCACAGCATTTCTATGAATAAGATTGTCTTAGGTGAGTAGAGCCAACAGATGGAAAAGAAGTTAATAAAGTACCGGGAAAGTAATATATAAATTAAAACTGTGACAGCTGAAAAGGAATTTCTACGATATCTTTATTCGGAGGTCATACTATTAAACAGTAGGGCATTAATATTTGGAAATTCAACTAATTGCTATTTTTTCCTAATGTTGGCCAACCAATTAGCTAAATAATTTGTAGATTGTATGCAGATGATACTAAGCAACCATGACACTGCAAAAGAAATACAGACATCTATTTGGCCAGATTTTATGCTGTTTAACAAATCAGTGCTATATCATTTTTAGTGGGTCCCACTTCCGATCCCTTCTGTAGGTAAATGAACTGGTGCTATCTATGGCTACAAGTCAACTGTGTCCACACAAAAAAAGAGAACTACAGCTTGGAAAATGCATTACATACTCACCAGATGTACTACTGCCTCGATCCGAGCTGTTGTAGGATCCACCTGTATTCTGGTCATATGCCTGGTTGTATGGAATAGTTGGAGCAATGTTGTCGTTTACCCGGTAATCTGCAAGTTTAATAGTATAGTTACTATCACCCTCCTGAAAAAGTGAGACTTTTATATACCTGCTTTATAGCACAAAGTAAGACCTCCTGAAAATAGTAAGGAAGAAATAATTTGACTTTCTGAAGGGAAAACCCTTACATTTTACTCTTATCTTGCCTCTAAGCCAAAGTTTAGGGAGAATCATGGGAACTTAGTAGCTTCACAGCAAATATGCAGAGGACTGTTACAGTGCTCTGCAATGATTTAGTCTCAAAGGATGTATATGACCTGTGTGAACATTTTGAATGTGAATAGTACTGTCATCTTGACAGATTTTTCCATGGATTCTGATTAACTTATGCATGCAGGACAGCCAATTGGCTGTAGCAGCTACTTTCTGAATTTTAAAGGTGACAACCCTACATAAGAGGCAGTCTACAAGGCCTGTGTGATCTGTTGGAGCAACAGTGTGGCTCAGGTCTTGTTTCAGTTGGTCCAGTGTCTCAGTTATACAGGGCTCTTTTTTTTTTTTTTTTGCTAATGGCTATTACAGTAACTTCTCTCTCCAACTCTGAAGATTTGGCAACCAGATCTGCAAAACTATAGCAGGAGTAAAATACTCATATGATAATACAGTACTTTCATGCCAGGAAGTATTTAGAATTTACAGAGAACAGAAAGGAGCTGTGTTGCTCTTCATATAGCAAATAAAATTGAGTCATAAACAGAACCATGGACATAAAGTAGTGACAGTGAAGCACAGCATGTAACGCATCAAATAGTTATTTCTCATTACAAAAGTTATAGGTATAATTTTCAGCAAGATGGTTTTGACTTAGGAAATGAGAAAACCAAGAGCAGAATATTGACTCATAAAATAGAAAAGCAAAATAAAAATAAACAAAACTAAGAATCCAGTCCCCATCTGCTGCAGCAATGTTTGCAATAATGTAAGCATGGGAAAAAGAGCAAAATGATAAATTCCACACCAGAGAATATTCTGTAATAGTTTCTCAGACTAGTTGCATTCCACAGACCATGGTGAAGCCCTGCATACCACATATGTTTACACAGAGGATAAACAATAAATCAACACTCTGAAATATGTATATATGACTGTCAGCAGACAATGCTTTAAGGGGGCCTTTGCACACTACAATATGCTAGAGAATATGCAGCTGTAATATAGACAATTTGAAAGATGCAATGTCTTCCAGGGCATAAAAACCAAACATGTTTTAATTCTGAAACAGATATGTAATACACAGTTCATGAAAGAAAACATAATTACAAGAAAAAGAAAGCCTTCACCCTCCAGTAAGGAGCCACAAAAATTGAATTTTCTCTCGACATGTTTGTGTCAAAGGCAAGTGTCACATTTTTATATTGCCCTTTGAACTCCTCTGTGGGTAGACAGGTCCGGTAAAGAAGTCAACATTCTTGTAATGAAATGTGTCGTTTTACTGGATAACTTATCACTATCAGATCATCTGAGCTACGACAATCCATTCAAAAAGTTCAAAGTTAGAATGGGTCCAGTTCCTAGGGATACTGTTTTGCAAATCAGGTTATTAAAAGAGGTTGCATGGTAGCCTGGAGGACTAGCAAGAAATCGCATACCTATTTCTTCCAACTCCCACACATTTTATTAACGAAACATGCCCCCAAGGCCACAAAAGTACATTCTGATGTTTCACGTTAACACCGAAATCAATTTATTTTTAGCTTCTGGATCCACAGACTTCAGTCAGGGTAACAAAGGAATTTAGTTTCCCAAAATTGTGTGCAGTAGAATTGCCTCTGAATATGTGAATCGGAGGCTTGCTAGGAATATGTCTGCAATGAATTGGATGGCTCCATTGCTGTCCCCAGTGTACGACACAATACAATTTTACAGAGTCTGATATGCAAAATTTCATTCGTTTACATGAACATGTAGATTTAATTAGTCTCCATCCACGACTGGGAAGAGTGGGTTGACCTATTTAAAATTTAAGGTAGAATATAATGTGACTACCATGCATCTGGCTTATGAATAAAATATCTCGTCTCTGTCCTCACCAATCCCTCAACTACTATTAAATTTAAATTAACCTCAAATCCATAGGAAATATCTTTTATTTAATTCTTTTTAAAGATACAGCTTGCTATTTGCTATAATAAATTCAATTTCTGAAGGTTATTGTGGTGCTAATTAACTCTTTGACACTGTTAACTGTGAATTTCTAAATCTAGAGCACCACAGAGGTCTGTATGTGCTAACCCTGAAAGCTTTGGACTCCCAGCACCAGAAGGTCACAACTCCTCTGACGCCTAAAGAGGAGAAACAAGCTAAAAGCTCTTCACCTTTGTTTAATTTGTTTTGCTCCATAATGTTGTACTGTATGGGTGCAACCTCTTGCTTTTGCTGAACAGAGGGTTTCCAGTGTTTCTCATTCGTATCCCCGCTGCCATTGTTAACATTATTGCTGATATTTGACTGGATGAGCTGAGTGGTGGCATAAGGAGTGGGTTGCCCAGGCTGGCTGACAAATCTTCCGTCCTTTAGATTTGGACTATTGAAGGTTTTCATCTCATTGATTTTGTTGCTTAGGTCCACGTCACCATATACAGTTGACTCAGGCAACATCAGGTTTGTTTGCTTGTTGTCCAGCTGATTGTTGTAATTTGCTATACAATCGGCTAACCACAGAGGAAAGAAAAAAGAAAAGGTCATTCTGTTCGCTTACACTCTACTTTCAATGAAATACCCTCTAAAAAATTGCTAGCGCAAAACCGTATGGCTTGCATCCATGAAACAGAGATCATATAATTAACTACCTAAATTATGGAGTGTAATTTACCTTTTAAGTCACTGCGCATACTGGCCAAGTGGCCAGACCAAAAGTAGTGTTCAGTGTTTTGGTGCACTGTAAATTCAGATCTACTGAACTGTATCTACTACGACTTACTTACCTTCTCTTTTTTTTTTTTTTTCCTATACTAGCCATATCAATATTTACATTTAGACACTATTATCAAAGTAGCATTTATATTTATTTAATGAATAACTGTGGTTAAAGTAATCTGCATTTAAAGGAAAAATCAAACAAAACTAACTGTGGGAATAACTAAACATGGCAGTTACTTCATGTCGATATAGAATGAAAATCACTTAGACTTTTTTGTAATTGTGGTAGGAAAGAGAATACGGCAGATTTTTATAAAACAGATCAGAAAATAATTACTCATTCACAGAAATAATTAAAGAGAAACAGCACAGTGTGTAAAGGAACTCGGTACCCTGTAGCAAGACTTTATTTGACCATTGTTTCCTTGTACAATCGTATATTTGGGCTTGAAACAAAAAGACAGGAAAGCATTTTGGAATTTCTGCAAATTAGTCATTCCTTTGGATACTGCAGAGTAAGCAATACCATTGTAACTCCATTGTCCTGTGTGCTAAATATAGACAGTGTGAATTCATTCTTCGAACAGTTATTGTACCACGAGATCAGCACTCATTATAGTCAGACATTAATTAAGCATGTACTGATGCTCTGGCCGCTGCTGTGTGAACCAGTGCGCCTGCCTTTCAGGGTTTCCTTCTCTTCTGTGTGACAGGAATTCTCCATATCCAGTCCACTGGAAGGATGCTGAAGGTCGTAACACAGTCCGTGGGTAGGTGTTTAGAGAGATTAGGGAGACCAGTGTTCAGTGCTCGTTAAACACGAACGACAATTCGCCACTGATTAATGCAAAAGTAACTACGTAACAATCACCAGGTATATCCTCTCCCTCTTTAAAAATGTGCAGCATTTGTGTTAATGAGTTTGATTCAGTCCTGAAGAGCATTACCTGCGGAGGCCAGAATTAATTTACTTAAGAGGGTGCCAAGCAAAACACAATTCAGGATTTGAACATTCGGCTATATGAAATAACCACCGAATACAGAGGACATTCCATTTCAAAACAGTCCCTAATACAGACATTTTTCCTAAAAAGTAACTCCAGAAAAAGGCAAGAAATGCAAAAAAAAAGGCAGTAACACTTGAGAATGAAATCCACTCATCCACATTTTGGCGATTAAGGAACAATATCAGAACATGCCACATACAACTTATTCATTGCACATCTTATGCCTCCGGCTTCTGCCTTTTGAAGGTTTTATTTACCATTTGATACATTTTTCTTTGTTATGTGAGCTATTATTTATTTATTTATTGCTTCACAGTCTTCAATGCCTTGACTTCTGCTTCTTTAATATTTTAATTTCTCCTTTTTCTCTCACATATTAAAGCGATCCTAGTCTTTCCCCCTTTTCATGCTTGTTCTGTTAAATTGGGTATATATACAGCATTCCCACTCTTTCATGATACCTCTTGCTTTGCTGTAATATCCTGGCAGAGGCACTTACAGCATATGTTTTACCATTTTCAAATAGATACGATTTTTGTGTAAAATGATTGACACAGTATATGCAGTTCGTACACTTCTTTCCATAGACATATTAGAATTCTTCATATGCAATACTTATAACTTGTTTACCTGTGTAACAAAAGATTTATTCTATTTGTTAGATTATTTTATAATGTCTACTTTTAGAACAATCTGTTCCCTTTTTGTAAAGGTGGAAGACAGTGCTACTAAATGTGCACTGTTACTTAGGATATTCATGAATCTCAAACATTTCCAGGACAGAAGAGACCATTAAAAGCATTGTCGGACACCAAGCATGTATGCTCTGTTTCAAAGGAAGGAATGACTTAGCAAGACAACTGAGCTTAATATAAAAGACAAACTGAGAAAGAATTTACTGCACCTCATGGCAAGATGTTAAAATAGTTTACAATCCACCAAATGAGGATTCTCTTCCTTTTTTTAAAAAAATTCGTTTTCATTTCCTAAAACTTGTTAGGCTTTTGCTTTCTACTGTAAAGCGAACAATCTCTACAATCTCAAATACCTTTGCACAGTGGCATTTGTGGACATGTTTTCCTTAGGCAGGGTCAGACACTAGTCTCTTCTGTTAGCAGCTCTCACCTTCCTCTGAAGCACCTGGCACTGGTCACTGTCAGGCTGGATGCAGCAGCAGATCAGTTACCACCTTCACATTACGACTGGCTTCACATTAATTACACCAGAGGTGGTGCTGATTTGCACTCGCACAGCTTCACTGGGGATAATCATAACCTCTTTGCAAAATGCTGGGAAATACTACTAGCAAAAGGCAGCCAGAGTTGCTGCTGGTGTACAAGGGATGGAGAAAAAAACGTCATTTTTATTCCTCACCAGCAACACTGTCAGGTCTGTTTAAAACCAAACACGTAACAAATGGCACTTGCAGGTATGTTTCCCCTGTTGTGTTTTGGAGGGAACTCGTGAGGTTAACCTGCCATTTCACCATTGCTTTTAGGTCATGAAGTTAACCGTCCTGCCCGCACGCTCCGAGCTACCCGGCTTTGTGCAGAACAGAGTCCCATAGACAATTTTACATGGGCCCAACTACTCTTAACTATCTTGCAACCATCTGTGGCAATGAGTTATTTCTTCTTTCCCGTCACCCCCAAAATATAGAATGAAAATCGCACTAGTGAGAACTTCTGGTGCTCTGTCCAAGTAACACAAAGATGTAGAGCACCCTAGAAATGAAAAGTTATCTGTATTTTTTCAAATGTTGCAACACATTGTTCAGCATGACTTTTGGTAACACGTAACATTGCAGGGGCTCATTTACCTTTTAATAAAGCTTGATACAACTGTCCATAAAAGGAAACAAAAGCACAACCACAGAAAAGAGGAGCGAAATTGCATTAAGCTTACACATACAAAAAAAAAAAAAAAAAAAAGAAGAAGAAGAAGAGACTATCCTCAGGTCCTGTAAGTATAAACTGTGTAAGGAAGATTCCTTAGCAAGGCAGAAACATATCTAACCTGGTCGACTGTATGTTGTGAGGTTGCTGTCGCTGTTCCCGTTGCTGGAGGTGCAGCAGTTGATGGAGCAGTCGTTGTGGTTGTTCCCCGTGTTAGGCCAGGTATCTGCTAGCCAGGGCTGAGTGGCTGGTTCACTGATGTTTAGGAGTCCTGGCCTTTAAAAACAAAGCCTGGTCACTTCAAAAATTAAGCCAGAGCATGTTCAGCTTGCAGTCACATTCTTCTCAAAAGGTTAGATATCATGAAAGAACAGTTAAAGGCTTGGGCTCTAGGCAAACATAGCTTGATTTGACTCTTACATTCTGAAATAAAAGCACTTGTTTATGCGTGACCTTTATGTATTTGGAACACCTTTAGTTTTGGCTGGGGTTTTATTTTGTGGGGAGGTAGGGAGGAGGAGGTTGTGTTTTGTTTTCCTGTCCCTTCTCCCTCCTTTTTGAAGTGAAAGATTGTAAAACAGGGGATACTTGCAAGTCAAACAAGCAAGCAAAAATAAACAAAAAATATCCAACATGTAAGTGAGGTGGCGAGGCAGAAATGAACAGGCAGAAAGCAAATGCCATGGTTGAATTACAACCTGAGTTTGGATCTGAACAGCCCCAAATTCTTGGTGATTTATGAAGCCAGGTTCTAATCACCATCAGATACTGCTACCGTAATGGATCAGAGGGGAAGAGCAGATTACAGGAACCGCCAGCGCTCGGGAGTGTTTGGATCCCGCTGAACACACAGTCTGTGTGACACATCTGTGTTACTGAGTAAGCCACGGGCTTAATCTTTAAGTGGGTGGAACAGCAGCAGCTCTTAAGCAAGTTTCAAGTAACTGGGAATACTCAACACCTTTAAAAATACCCAGATATCCCTGCAGCACATTGGCTGCATTTGGGATAAAATATGTTTCTGCCATCAGCAGAAAAAAAATAGCATTTCCTTAGGTTCCAAGTTACTAAATCTTTCTAGTCAGTAAGTCAGACACCTAGGAACACTTTTTAGCATCTCTGGTGCCTGCTCAGTTTGAACACAGGCAATGCAGCAGCACGTGACAAAGCCCCACATATGTGGCATCCTCTAACAACTTGACAAGTGCTTTTGATAACTAAGATATTTTAAAGATAGGTATATTTAGCCACAGTCATATCACAATAATGGACCATGGTCTCTCTCATCACCTGGGGCTTGCCAGTTTTAACTGGCAACTTTCCATTGTAAACAGTAAAAAAACTGGTCTTCACACTGTTAGTTGTGATGCTCTTAAAGAATAAAATATGCTAATCCTCTTAAACTGCAAATTGAGAATAAGAGCTGCACCAGCAGCTAGTTGGTGATACAGTCTGCCAGTGACACAAGCATAAGTCATAGTCTTAGGATGACATTTAAAGATACACATGCATAAACATACACATCCCCCCCACACACATATTTATTACTACACTGAATGTGCCACTTGACAATTTAATATTGGAGATGATGAGCCATGACTTACCGCCAAGCTAACAAACCAAGGAATGCACATGCATTAGTCAAATGTTCTTTGTAAATCTGAAATATATGTACACCTACATAGTCCTGTATAGCTGGCTGGAAATGTCCTGCAGGTTTTTCCTACTACTGCACTCAGAAAATGAAAATACACCTCAAGGCATCTGCAGGAGACAAAGCCTTCTGGAATGTTTCAGCACTTTCCAGGCTCGTGTACTGGACTTTTGGATTGAGAGCTAGAGGTTTCTCAAATTTGCTCTGCTTTTGAACAGGCTGTTGTGAAAAATATGCTGCATTTTAAGTATATATATAAATTTAAATATACAGGTATGGAAGCGCGTATGTAAGTATAAAAAAATCTACTGGAGGTATTCAGGTGGAAATACACAGAATTGGGGATTATTTTGAAATATTTCACTATAGTATTTTTTGTCCTGAACAATGCTGTAACAGGCTCACATATCTTCATGTGGCAAAACTGCTAAAACTCTCCAAAACACTATAAATACAATGAAAAGAAGTGAAAACCTTAAGCATGGATTTCATAGCAGAGGCTTCATGTTTAAATATAGCATTTCTTTTAGACTGTGGAAGTATTTTTTTGTATTCTACAAAACAGAGCACCACATCAGAGGTTCTGTAAATACTATATGCTCCCAAGAACAAAGGAACCATGGATTTTAGCACCTAGAATGAACTACAGACACACCATGGCACTAATCCTTAAAACTAGGATAGCAGAAAGCCAGGCTGCTGCTGCGGCAGTACCAGAGGGACTGCATAGGATGCACACACTCCTGGGCTCGTTTCTGCACTGTTCTTTGCCTTCCTTGAGCTGTGGCAGCAGAGGGAGAGCTCCGCAGCTCAGGGAACACAGAGCGGCTACCTGGGCGTCTAGAGGAACAACCGTATCAGGGCATCATCCCTGATCTCTCTTATCTTCTCACTGTCCCAGGGTGAAGGCAGCAGCTCAGTGATGTGCACATCTGCCCATTTAGAAATCACAAAGTAACTGTTCTAGAGGTTTTCCTCCATGCTTTTACAGCATGGATGATGCAGCAGCTTGGGCAGAGATACCTGCACAAGCTCTGAGCGGGCCAGGTGCAGTGCTAGCTGCAGCGCAGCCTCTTCTCTGCACAGCATTCAACTATACAACAAGCATATCTGATGGAAATGTCTAATTTTGTGCCTAATCATCATCACTACCAAGTTTTTGCACAGCCTTGCAAATCACAAAATACCACTGGCGAAATAGGAACTTATGCAGTAATTTACGGCCCAGCTGTTCTCTGAGATTTAAAGGCTCATTTCCACATCATGCCCAGCCTGTAACTCAAACGTTAACGAACAGGCAGGCTTGCATGTGACCTAGAAAAAAAAGTGTGCTACTAAACTGACACGTCCCTGACCTGCCTTGCTGCTAACACCGTGACTTTTTCTTCTGAAGAAACAGAGATCTCTAGGCAGGAAATTGAAATTACAGTTTGGTCCATTGCCATTCATTAGGTAAGAAATTAAACCCAGTAAACCTGTTTTAGTTAATTTGGAATAGACTAGGTTCCCAAAGCATGGAGCTCCTTATTAGAAACCAACCTGTTTCCTTATTCTCCTGCAAGTAACGCTTTAACTATTTTATATTCACAGCATGATTTTTTCTTTAAATATCACTTTATAAGCTCTTAGTGTCTTCAGAAAATTCCTCCATTAAACGTTCTTTTTTCTTTGTAGTATTTGTGAACCACCTATATTTCTTAATCTTCATAAATGCCACAACTTAATTACTTTTACTCCCTTAATCAGCCGCGAGGTCAGACCTTTATTTGGAAGTTAAAGTGCTCCCTCTGCTGTTTCTTTTTTGAGATGCAATTTTTACAGGTTAACAAAGCAACTAGGGTGAAAATACTGTGAATCATTCCTTGGAGATCAATGTAAAGCTGCAAATTTCATATTCTCCTTCTACACAGAAAAATGTATAGCTAACATTAATATCATAATTTTTAAAAAAAATCTCCCATTGATTTTTCTGCCGCTACTTATAAGTGCTACTGTACATCTTTGAATTCTTTAGCCCACCATTTATAGCTTTAAAAATAAAGCTCATAATTACCTGCCTCCACTGCTTACGGCATCTCCTCCTCTCTGATAGGTGACTGAAATATTAAAAAAAAAATGAAATATTACAAAAAAAAAGCACAGAGGAATCCTTACATAGCAAGTCTGCCCTTTTCATTTTAGCTAAGACAATCACAGAATCACACAGAATCACAGAACAGTTGAGGCTGGAAGGGACCTCTGGAGATCATCTAGTCCAACCCCCCTGCTCCACCAGGGACACCTAGAGCACGTGGCACAGGGTGGCATCCAGGTGGGTTTTGAAGATTTTACCAAAATACTGTGTTTTACCAAAAATGTATTTTACCAAATTTTACCAAAAATGCTGTATTTATGTAAGTCCAAAATAACTAGACATTTCATAACCGATATGTTTGGTTCATAGGACAGTAGGATCAACAACAGCATTGCTATTTTGTGTCTCATTCTGCAACTGTTTGTTATTCCTTCATAGGCAAGTTTATACATAACACTGTATAAATATGTATAACTGTTCCATCACAGCTCCATCAAAGTGTGGTATTTCAGTTTGGTTATGACAAACACAAACAAGAATATATATCACTTCAGGAAATTAAAAGGAAAAAAAAAAAAAAAGGAAGCCATACATCAGATTGAACTTATCATTAATGTAACTCTGATGACTTCAGTGGAGTTACTCTGTGGGTGAATTTAGGTCATATATTTATTTCAAGAATGACCAGATGTTAAAGCTTTGCTCTACCTTAATATTTTGGTAACATTAAGGAGGTATCATGATTTTGTAACAGGCCTTTCCTTGCAGTGAAAACAATGGCTCACGACAGCTGAACCTACGGCAAAACCAAATGCTCTTGCTGAAAGCTACTGCATTTTCCTCAGAGACCTGGCACACTCTAAAAGCCCATGTAAGCTTACTATTTTATAACATTTTACAATTGGGCTTATTCATGATCTTTTCTATCTAAAAAGTTAAATATATACATTTTGACACAAAAATGCCTGAAAGGAAGACTATGTCGTAAGCTAGCAGGAACAACTGTGCTAATATTTCATAAGCACACACATTAACAAAGCGCACGTCCACACGCACTTATTTTTTTGACATGGATTGCATCTACTTCAAAGTTAGCTTTTTAGGATGCATATCCAAGAAGAAAATACTATAAATTCTCTGAGTTTGAACTGGGTTAAGCAAAGGGTTAAGGAGATTAGCCTCCCTGCAAATGCTGATGGATTCTACATTTTCCAACTAGCAATGTGTTGAAAAAAAGCAGCCAAATTCTGCTCTTTAAAGAACTCCAAGCTGGGAGTCTGCAAGAGAGAGATAAATACTGGCAGTGATTACAATAACAGGATTAAAATGTAGGATGCATTGCTACAGGTAAGCCTTTTACTATAGGTAATGCTAAAGAAGAGGGTGTGCTACCATCTAAAGTCCATGAAACCAGCGATCGGCATCCCGGCTGATTGAAAAAGGATTTTGTTTCCTTTAAATGTTTCCTTTAAATTTCTTTTTCCATTTTCTTCTTTTAAAATCTCAGCAAGGTTTACTTTGCAGCTCTGACATCTCTTATGGAGCTCTGATACTTTCCTTTAATGTTAAGAACCCAACTGAGAAAATGTGCATTAGCTAACCTCCCAACCTCTGCAGCGTTTCAGTAGTGTGCTACAACTGTGATTGCACTAGAAGCCCTATGTTAAGCCAATTAAAGTAACAGCAAAATAATAATAATTTGAATGAGTCTCCACTGCGGATCTCAAAGGACTTCAGAAACATTACGGGCCACTCTGACTCATGCTGAACAGTAAGCAACTCCACTGAATGCAATGCGATCACTTGAGGAACAGGATGCTATTTGGAGTGATCAAGAGCTTGGGGATAAGAACTCGGCCCGTTCTGAGCAGGTCTGCACGGACGAACAGACACACGTGAGATTTTGCTTCATCTGCACTCCCGGCTCAAAGGAGGCAACTCAGCTGCTGCCCAGAGGCAGGGGAGCCCCGCGCTGCGTGTGAGCTACCTGAGCGCGCCCGGGCGTTTGGCCCCTTTTGACCTGCCTGGGCATACGGGGCTCAGAGTGAAAACAAGGGGTGTGGACAAAGGAGGGAAACACGAGCAGCCTGCTCGCTTGGGTTTTAGCTGGAAGAAATGTATGTTCTGTGGCAGTGAGCTGGGAATGTGCGGAACTGTGTCTCTGTGCTGAGGAGAGCAACCCGGGCCCTGCCTGCGGGACCGACTCAAGGCCAGGCCTGCAGAACGGAAGGGCTCCCACTGACTTCGGTGGGCGACGCTCTGTCTGTGCTGTGGCCATATCTGCTACATTTCCAAACAAAAAGAAATAGAAGATGACTTTAACCCACTCTGCATATAGCTTTGTCTATATAGAACAAATACAGTTCTATGCAAAAAAAATATATATATATCTAACTGATCTCTGTGCTCTCTGTGCCTTCCAAACTCCTAGGACCCTGGTTCAGTGCAGACACAGAGGAAAGAAGAGAAGTCAATATTTCACCAACTGCAATCCTAGGCATGCCCCTTTCAAGTCAGTGCCTGGGCTCTGCTAAACCGCTTCTCCTCCCTCAGGAGTCCCTTTGCCACTGCTAGGTACAGATGGCCACACTCTGGGCTTGTAATGCCTGATCAGAGGCCAGGTGAGCCTGTAAGAACTAGCAGACTCATGCCACAGAACGGTCTGCTTGCGTTAATACACATCCAGTGGTATGCTACTAAATGGCACGCACAAGAGGAGAGGTGTCAGCTACAAAGCAGCTACACGCGACTTCTTAGACAACACTTACGATGAGATCTGTAATTAATGACATCATTGCTTAAAAAACTTCAGAACAGACAGGCTGGTTATGTCAGAAAGAGAAACAGTACCACAAACACATGCTAAAAGTAACAAAGAAGGGGGGAAAAGTGCAAATATATACCTGTTGGTGTGAAGGTAAAAGACGGGACTGAAAAATCAAAACAAAATACAAACTGGTTATTAAGCTGAAGAGAGAAAGGGAAACATACCACATTAGTACAAATCTAGCAGACAGCTGAACATGAAACAAACGTAAATAATCCAGTAGTTCATTCATATTAATATAGAAATAAAATTAAATTTGTGATTCAGGAAAAGCTTGTCTCCACAAGTACCATTCTGAAAAAAAAAAAAAAAAAAAAACCTATTTTACTGTGCTCCTGAGAGGAGCTGCATGTGGCTTCGCCTCTCAGGAACCCTCTGCCTGGTATCTTATGTTTTGCTGAAAAGCCTAGTACAAACAAAAACCCTACACTGTTAATCATCTGAAAATGCAGAATGACAAATTCCTTAACAAAGCCTTATCAAGGTCCTATTGAATCTTATCTGCAGTTCACTAAGTAAATGCTCATTACGCTGAACTAATCGGCCTGCTTACGTATTCAGTAAGGAAATAATAATCATATAAGGGAACAAAGAAAGCTGCTGTTTGACTCTTTCTGAATCAAGAATGGCACCAAATTACACTGTAATAAAGGCACTAAAATGTACGAGGGCAATTCATTTTGTTTTCATAGCTGAGGAAATAAGAGACAGAGTTATTAATCTTTTTTTTTTCCTCAAATAATCACTAAAAAAAGGTAAAAGCCACCCCTGGCCGCAGCGCCTTCCAGCTATGCCTTGCGGAGGAGCAGGGCAGCAGCCCTCCCTCTCAGGGCCTCTGTAACTGTCCTTTGGATCCATAGGGTCTCTGATCACACACCCAGCACCAGCATCGGCTCTTCCTACCAGCACACGCTCCCCCTCCTGTCGACAAGGGAGCACAGTTCTCCTGCTGCTGATGGGCAGAAAAAAAACTAGTCTGGTCTAATGGAAGTGAGGAGAAAAGCGGGAGAAATACTGCGATCGTCACTAAAAGAAGTTGTTTCATCAGCAAACCTGTCACAGAAGGAAAAGCCCGGGGCTGAGAGCAATTACTTAAAGAGCCCAATGTAATTTTTACAATAACTGTGCTGTTTCGAGGGACTCCAGAGTGTCTTGTTGGTGTATTTTAGAATATGCTGTGGTTCCCCCCCTCTCCTTACCAAGCCAATTTGTCTGCAGGAATATGGCACTGAACGAAAACGAAAAAACTCTGAACATTTTGCCCATTTCAAGGCTTCATTTGCAGCACAGCTCTTCATCTTGGGAATTCCATTGTATCTCCTTTGAGCTAGGCCTTTTCACAGAGTCAGTGTAATTTAGCTACATTCAAAAATATAGAACCATAGTAACAGCAAGCTTTCATTAAAAACAGAAGGTGCATTTAAACCAGCGCTATTCAAAAGAGAACGAAGTGTCTCAAAATTAATTTGCAATCACAATGAAAAAAATCTTGACATATCTGTCTCATTATTCTCCTGTGAGCTAAGCACTAAACTTAGTTTAGATTTTAAGGAATTGAGGAACAGATTAATCAGAGGTTGAACTCAATGAAAACTGCATAGCTAGCACATGATAGAAAAACTTAATTCTCAGAGTTTCTATTAATAAACTCTTGTGAGTGTGTAAGAGTGTTTGTACAATATGTGCATGTGGGGGAGTGAAGTATTTCAACGGATGTCAGGTCTGAAGATAGACATAAAAATAAGTAAGGAAATGCAAGACTAAAGAAAGTTTGCACTCGTGGTCCTGACTCAATGCATTCTGGAGTGGAAACTACTCTGTAATTTCTATTTCAGCAAAGATCTTTTTTTCTTGAAGAAAACTTGTTAATGGAGATACAGACTCTACTTTTCTGTATATTTATATTAAAATTCCCACTAAATTATACAATTACATATTAAATCATACAAAAGGTATTTTTCCAGCTACTGAATAACACAGCTGTATTGAACAACAACTGAGGTCATTAAGGTGATCATTTTTAAAGACATACTATATGCATTTGCTTAATCACAGATACGGCTGAAAGCACAGTGATATTAGTTTTAAAGCACCGCAGAAAGGCAGTATGGCAGCATGCTATTAGTAAAACAAAACAGAGCAGGCCAGTGCAGTAGTACATCAGGGTCTGTGTTACCTAAGAAATTCTAGAACAAAATCAAAGGTAAAATTCATCCCTGATTTATGTGGTTGCAACTCTGCTAAAACCACTCTGACTGAAGTCAAACATAATCATTGACCCTGAAACAGTATGGGGGCCACCTAAAATTCTTACACACCTCAAAATTATTTCTTTGTCTCCCTTACACAACTGAGTTGCTATTCTTGCCCTTGATTTTTTCTCATAGTGACACATGACTGCTGTTCAAAAAGTCTGTGTTATATTTGCCTATCTCTCTGGCCCATCACACATTCACACCTGAAGTGACTGTAGAACAAAAGCTCGTGACACCTTTCAGAACATGAGGATATGGGCACCTTTTAAGCCCAGGTCTATCTTTTAATTGCTGAATATCCCAAGCCTCTCCCTTTGTTTCTTTAAGAGAAGAATTGCTCATTCCGACTCATTCCAGAATTTACAGTTACTGCTCTGTGAGTGCCTATGTGGTACCATGTAGCTTTGAGCTGCAATGAACTGTTGCTTATTGAATTCAGTTTTTAACTTCAGGGCTTCCTGTTGAATTGGGAGAAAACAAGCTTTCATTCCAGAAGATCTTTCAGGTAGAGATTCTGGTTTTGTTTGCCACAGAGTACACTCTAAAGCACTGCTTGCAACCAACTATCTGATGTGAAAGATATCAATAACATGAAAATGAAGAGTGCTTTAAGCTAGGCCCAGAGCTGCCATTCTGTGTGAATGCAAATGCCAGACTGGATAGCCCCAGATTTTAGCCCCAAAGAAGGTCCTCACAACAGCATTTATTAAAGGATTTTGGAAAGTAATACTGATGTGCTTTCTTAGACAGCCACTTCACTGCATTTCCCCAGAATGTAAGGAAACCCAAGGATACACACCAAAAGCAGTACATTAACTGACACCGCTGTTAGTATTCTTAGCAGCAGGCAAAAGACTGAATAAAAGGGACAACGAACTCCCATCCAGTTGATTCCTTTTCAGATAGTGTAATGTCAGATAGCAAGGGCATAGTGGAAGTTGCCAGAATTAAATCTATCTCATACATTTCTCATTTGTATAACTATCGTCTATGAAAAGCTAATCTAGGTATTTTGCTGAAGGCTTGTTTTTAAAAGCCAGGTACTATACATCGTGTAGTTATTAATGTTTCCAGTCTTGAGGTCTGATCCAAACTTCCTGACAGCTTTGAAATAATTTGGTAAATTGTGCACCAGATCTTGGAAGAGTACTAGACTGATGATAAAGAAAATAGCTCAGCAAACATTCAGCAGCTAACGAATTGAAACATGTAAAATGGCACCTTTTCTGATACCCGCATAAGTACTAGTGAGTCCATTTCGCTTCTTCCTGTGCCGGTAAAGCCAGATGCTGAAGACCATAAGGATAATCCAACAGGCTGCACCAATTCCTGCTATAAAGGCGGGCTGTTTTACTACATCAGAAATCTGCTGGGCTAAACTGACTTGATCTTCTGAAGACACGGGGTTTCCATGAGAATCTGGAGAGAAAAGGACAAAATCCCCAGTGAATTGGGATGAGACAACATCAGCAAAGAACACAACAAGACAATGAAAACTGAAGTACAAAATAGATGCTTCAACTTCCTTATAGTTTTGTGAAAGCATAAATTCACCCATACAATCACAATTTCTCACATAACTGAAAATCACAGAAGAAACACAGATTCAAAATACATTTATAGGGTTGATGTTGAGTGATGAACTTCAGTTTAGCGTTTCCTGATGCAGGATTTGAATCTTAAACTTCACAGGCTTACATTCACTTTAAAGTCTCTCACTTTGACCTCAATTCAAGAAGATTGAAAACCGAAAACATAAAGAAGCAAATGTACAAAATAATTAACAATTCTGCCCTCCTGATATGGATGAACAAGTTAAAGGGTGTCTAGGAAGGAAGTATGAATTGGTAGAAACCAGCAGTCTCATTACCACTGGAAATGTAACCCTTGTCATAAAATGTTTACTCTTAAAGATCAGATCGAAATAAAGGACTTTTTTTTTTGCACACTGTTTTTGATTTTTCACAGAGAAAGCATCTGTAAGAATCAGTCTTTGGTTTTCCTGCTCTGCTTTTGTAGGACCCTTCCAGGAACAGTAGTGAGAATATTCAGTTACTGAGCAATGTTTTCCAACTGTAATGAAGCAGCTCAAAGATAAAATACTGTCTGCTTGATTTTTTACCACCACAGTGACTGCTCATTGCAAATTTCATTATTACACAGAGCAAGGGCAAGAATTTGAAACCTTTACTCAGGGCGGATATTGCTTTACACATTCCACAGCTTAGTCTTTGAAATATCCTTTTTTGTTTTAGTGTAAATCTGAGCATTAGTTGTTTTTCCACTAGAGAGAGTGGCATCAGATTCTGGATCTGAGACTAATGTTTTAAGAAGAAAGTGCCGTTTATTCACCGTAGGATTATCCTCAAACAGTTCTATATAAGGATATATGACTAAAATATGTAAGAAATGAAATCCACTCAAAAAGCAACACTTTTTTCTTAAGAACTAACCAGGGGAGCAGATTTTTTTATTTTTCATAATGACATCTCTTATTTGTTCCAAAAGAAGCTTGAATATATATAAGCAACCACAAAACAAATAGAATATGGAGCTGCAACAAACCGTACAAGCAAAACCAAAAGAATTTTCTCTGGAAAAAGACATCTTTATGAATGGGAAATGGTTAAATTAATAGCTTTTTTTTTCTAAGTGCAAAATTCCAGAATTTTGTTTGTTTGACATCAAAGCCAAATACTTGTTTTGTCAAGGAGTCGCTTTTTGACTGCTGGCTTATTGAGAATTTTATTTTGTATTTCAAATTCCTTTATCTTCTGTGATCCTAAGTGCACTGCCTAGTCTGAAAGTTCACTAGGCAGGCTCGGTCTTTGCTTACTAATACACCCTTTGTGTCTGCTGGGTTTATAGATTTCACGCCTATTTGTGCAAGGTTGAGATGGGTTGCTTCAGATTTTATGGCGACAGCCAAGAGAAGTTGCACACAAGCGGCCAGATGGGCTAAAACGTATAAAGTATACTGTGACTAATGAATTAAAACTGTCGCTCTATATCTCATCTTTTGTCTCTTTGCAGCTGAGGCCGTATTAAGATATGAAAACTTGCACCATCAATCTGATTTCAAGATGAATGCACTTGTATTTTCTTTATTTTTAAAGTGTTGCAATCCCTTGTATCTTTTAATGGGAAAAAAGATGCCTAAAGCACCTGTGATTGTGAATAAATCTAGAAGAAACTATCTTTTTCCCTTAAAAATATACCCTTAAAGCAAAAACAAACAAAAAACCCAAAGAAAACAAACAAACAAACAAAAAAACACACAAAGAGTGAGAACAACAGAACTTGGAAAATTTCGCCAACTCAAAGCCTAATGAGAATGTTGCATAAACTCATGTCAACAACACAGCCATACACAAGAATAATACTTCGGTATATAGAAACTTGTTGCAATGCTCAACCAATATGTGTGTCAAGATTACAAAATACTGAAGAACCTCTCTGAACATTTATTGTTCTAAGCTTTAGTTAAGATGATGCTATTTTGCTGTCCCTTCCAAGCTTATGACCAGCATAATAACATGTATTTTTTTAAGGAACCAGACTTGTGCCACATGGTACATGAGTGGACTGTTAGCGTCATTACATTAGCTGATATTTACTTACACAGATGATAGGAGAAAAATGCATGCGTGTTTTTGTATAGTCATATAAACAGCGTCATAGAAAACAGCATGGAAGAGCCCTCAAGAAGCAACATTTGACCCATCTCCTGCTCCTCTTTTAGTTTAAAAATTTAAAGTAAGCTAAATATAAAGCAAAGGGAATTAAATCTAGTGAACTCCTTATTGCTAAAAAATTCAATATGCACGATTGAAGAAGTTTTCCTTTGAGAAAGGCATCTTCATTCTTTGTTATAGTCCAGGCAAATGCGTCAGGGAAAAAAAAAACCTCTTGGACCTAAAAAGTGCTTTTACTTCTTCTCAAGAAATTTCTGGAAGATTTGACTGAGCTATAAATGGTTCATAATCAACATTCCTGTTCCTGCTTGCACTCCTCAGGGAAACATGCCAAAATAATAAGCGAACATAAACACTCAAAGGCAAAGCGCATCTTAACTGCTGGAGCAGCAGCCACAACATATAATGTACTTCAAAATGCCTCAGAGTTGCTGGAGCAGGCAGATCACTACTCCCTGAAACCAGCATATTATCACACTGACTCATCCCTTCTTCTTCTGCCCCAAGATTAGAGGGTTCTTTTGCCACAGACAACTTGCTGTGCCTATCGTACACAGGGCACTGCATCTGTCTCGAAGCTCCAAGTTCCAAATTCAATAAGTACTTATGGAAACTCATATTGAACAGAATGGAGTTCTCCAATTTAAAAAACACTTTCGAGTAATAATGTAAAAATCAATGCTAAAGTTGTGGAATACAATGTTAAGATACAATTCAGACTGGAATGCCAAAGATTCAAAAAAGATAGGAAATTCGAGGTTCACAGGCATGCCAGAAACCCTGACTTTGCCCTGTATATGTACCCACTACGGCAGGCCATTTTCCATGTAGGCACAAAATGTTTGAACACTAAGGAGGAGGATCTAGGTTTCATGGAGGCTACTAGTTCCAGCAATTTGAAACGTGCAGAACACTTCAAATTTGTAACATAATCACTGAATAACAGAATGGTTGGGGTTGGAAGGGACCTCTAGAGACCATCTAGTCCAGCCCCTCTGCTCAAATGGGGAAATGTCTGAGGTTTCCTTGATTATATGTACATGATATAATATGAAAATTATTTGATAAAATACAACCAGCTTGAGCATTGTCTCCTTTCTAATGATACACATTTCCCTAACTGGAAAAATACCATTTTTCCATGTCAATCTTGTGACAAACGATTTGTGAGGGGACAGCATCAAGCTGGTTTGAAAAGGGCTTGCTGTGAGAAAAAAACAGTCATTGGCAGACTACAAGAGAAAGAAAAATATCAACAAATACCTTACAACTATTGCACTGTAGTAGTACTTGAGGGGCTGAAAGAATAACATCTCCCTAAAGGCAGGCACAAATCACAAGTTCACAAATCACATGTAAAGGAAGTGATTAGAATAATAAAGATTCAATGAGGCTTGTGTTTTGTACACTTGAGACACCCACTAGTTGAATAATGCACTCAAGATTTATAATTATTTTACAGGCGTCTCTTAAAAATAAATGCATAAATATACTCATACAAATTATTTGTTTATGAGTAACATTAACCACAGAGCTATCGTAAGCAGCATGCCTCACTGGCAAAACTAAGACTAGAGAACAGGAAATAGTACTTAGTTCTGATAAGTCTCAACTTTCTAGACAGGGCATTTTTGCAACCAGTGTCCTCAAGTTACATGTCATAACAAGACAAAAGTCATGACAAATTTCTCACTATCATTTTATCTCCACTGAACAATATTATAAATGTAAAGACTTCCAGTGAGCTATGAGTTCCCATGAAATACATGTTTTTGCCTTAAGATCAGAGGTTTTGCAGTCTTTTGCTTACAGAAAATATCCATTTTTGTCTTAAAAATAAACAAAAAATGCGTTTCCTGCCTTTTCAGTTTCAGATAAAGCTTTAATGGGTGGCTCAAAACTAAAAAGAAAATTTAAAAGCCCCAGATGTAGTGTTTATCAAGACACACAATTTTGCAGTTGGTCTCATGATTTTAAATGCTGAAATATGATTACTGTACAACAGGTGAGTATATGGTTGGCCTCTCCCAGGTGACACTGGACACATACTGCTTCATGTCCGCTGAGATGTGGAAAGGAAAGAGGTTTGAGCTCGCAATTTGTACCTGTCTCAGAAACGGGTTAGGTGTGCGCACAAGGTCAGTTATCAGAGCTCAGCTGAGGTGTGAGGCAGTGATCGCACGTCTCAGCTCTGGATGCATCTCCTGTGCTCCTCAGCCAGCCACAATCTAGCCCCACATTTTTGTGAATGAAAGCATACTAGAGGAAATGTACCTTTCATTTATACAATCAAAAAAAAAAAAAAAAGCTTATATGTAAATTGAACAATATATCCCATTTGCACACTTACACTTCCTAATTCAATAAAGAAGCATTGTACTAATTCAGGCACCAGGAAAAGATTTCCGGAAGGAAAAGTTGGGATCAAAGAAAGAAATGCAGACTCCTGAAATCAACTGTGGCAAAAACACAGTTCACTGAGCACGTAGATCCTTCCCCTCTCCAGCCTCCCTCCCCTCTCTCTGTGACCGTCTGATTTATCGCCTGTGCAAAGTGCCAGCCGATGACATCAACAAATTAATTTTCTGTCCTCAGCGGCGCTACCAGCACGCGCAGCGCCTGCTCCTCTCCCGCGCGGCGAGCGGGCCCGAGAGCCAAGGAGGCGGCTCTCTGCGGGGGCCCCAGCACAGCTGGGACCGGAGGGGAGTGTGACTCAGAGCTCAGGCTTTAAGCTGCTCGGTGCTGCTCGAGTGCACTCTTCTCACATTCAAGCACTAGTTTTATGTAGCCTCCTACAGTCAGCTGAAGCAAAGTGGCCCTGCCTAGAACCTCTTGCATGCTGCTTCCGGCGGCACGGATCCCCACACGCACCCCAACTCCAGCGACTCGGGAGAAGGAAGTTGAGGTGAAGACAGGGACCGGAGTGATGTACCCGTCACACCTACACAGGGACCAGGAGCAAAACCAGGCCTAGCTTTGCTCAGGGGGCGCAAGGCTTGTTTTAGCTTAGCCCCGGGAAGCACCATCTCACTGCCCACTGCCACCATCACTGGCTCGTACACCTTGCCAAACACAGGGTCGATGCCCTCTCACGGATGGTTTGATCAATGGTCTGTCAAAACTTCAACAAAAAAACTTTAGCACAGTGCTAAGGGATGATGCATGGCTGTATCTGCAAAGGGGTGGCAGAGGGCTATGCCTTAGAAGTATAAGCAACTCTTAAGGGCAAGGTTTTGCTATGTTTTTAACACTTTCACACACTGTATCTACATATTGCTTAATGCATATACGGTAGTCAGCCTATATTGAAAATTATAGTGATAATTATTAATATAATCAGTTGTAACAGTTTTGTCAGTGCTTTAGTATGTCACACTTAGTGGTTAAACAAAGATCACTAAATATCAGATCCTAACAGACTTGTCCTAATGGACTAGTGCAAGATAGGCACACCGGAAAATCCAACCCGGAACAAAGGCACTTTCAAAGATAACAGTGAACATCTGAATTATTTAGTACCATTTTAAAAATGCCTTTATATTTAAATGTCTATGTTTCGATGAGAATTCTTTCACTTGTACTGCACTAAAAAATGTATTAGAAGAAGACGTGCAAAGGCTAGGAATTTGACTTCTATTGGCTTTTACGAAATGATAGCCATGCCAGCACATCTGGCCACCCTCTGAGTTATGTAATCATTTCATGCTTTCCAGTGCAGTGTCAATAAAGGTCAGTAACCCAGGAGCAGGCAAAAGATCCTGCTCTTAAATAGAGTCTGATTTGTTCCTTTTTCTGCTTACCAAAACCCAAACTGATTAAGTGGTATTGTAAATTTCACCTACAATTAGTATTTGTTTATCACCGAAGAAAAGACAAAAGTGTGGCTACCAAGTCTTTGATTTTGAAAATCAAAGTTTCACTATTATTTTACACTTCACTGATCTAAAGCTTTCAAAATCTAAGCTGTATAGAAAGGGTATGGAAGCTGCCTTAGGAAAGAACATTCAAACAAATCCGATCATTTTTATACATATTATTGAAGTACCATTTAAGGTGTGTGCAATTTTGTAAGAAAATCTCTCTTTATGTAAATGGGAATCATATGCTTAAGTTAAATATGTTGAAGATGACCTTCATTTTAATAGTCAAAGTAAAGTGCATGCAATTTTGCAGAGAACATACCATTTGTTCCATCCTTTTTTCACATTCAAAGATTATAGACTTTTAAATACAAAAACTATCTAGGAAGATATACTGATCACTTAATGATAGAAAGGGACACGAAGCCCAAAGCAACATGATGAGTTTGCTTTTTGATTTGATAATACAGATTATATACTGTAATGATAAGGTACTACTGTAATGAAAAGGTCTACTGGAAAAGCAAGGTATGACTACTCCTTAATCTCATTCTTCTCCTGGCCAACAGCAAAGATGCACTTCTCCCTGATACATCCAGAAGCAATGCCACTGATCTGCATTTCTGAGAGATGTTTGGTTGAACTAAGAAGATCAAAATTATTGTAAATCATCTGCATACCTCTTGTCCCTGTCCTGCACTTGTTTAGTTGATACTTATTTTACAGAATTTTAGCACACTCCTGTTTCTTATTTGCCTGCATAAAGAAAGATAAAATCTAATCAAGACAAATTACATCCCTAAATCAATGTGAGCCGAGACTTAAGTGATACATATTCCTTTATATGATTTATTACACCATTCTTGGTGTAAAAAAGTTACTTTGAAAAATCGACAACTGAAAAACATTGCTGAATTGGGAGTGTAGGAAAAAAAAAAAAAAGAGCAAGAGATACTGTTTTAACCTCATCTTTAGAATTCAGTCCTAACACAAGTTTGAAGCCAGCAATGCCAAATCATGCTAATCCAGACATCAAGTGACTATTCCACTGGTCTGGAAAATATTTCTGGTGCCACAGAAGACAAAAGCAAACAAAGCGAAGGTCGTCAAAATCAATAGGTGGGATTACTAGCAGGCTTACCTAATTGGATAAACTGTGGATCGCTTTTCACTCCAGGTCCTGCCCCGGTACTTGCTGCCACTTCCACGCTGTATCGAATGCCAGGAACTAGGGAGGGGATGACCACGGAAAAGGTGGTGCCATCCACTGTCCTGTTTATATGGTATCGACTTTCATTGCCAAGGCACCAGACCTGCAGGGAAGTGAAGCGCAATGTATACATGAACGTTCAAACTTCAACACTCAAAGGGTAACTGGATGGAAGGGTGACACAATTCCCTTCTGCTGGATCCAGAGAGTAAGAATTTGTCACTGCTAAAATCTGCAGGCATGGATCACTGCCCTGGGCGCTGCATGAATGCTAAAAAGATACTTCTTGTTGCAAAAAGCAACTCAAACCATTAAAATTATTTGATGGGTTTCTCCTAATACACTTACAGTTTAACCCATGACATGAGTGTTAATAAAAATAAAAGCATTTGTAACACTGAACAAACAAGGTAAGCCTCTTAGCCAAAAATCATTCCCATAAACAACAGAGTAAGAGCAGGCTGTTAAATGAATTTGCAGTTCTCGTGTCCAAGAATAATCCATCAAGCAACCCTTTCTTCAGTCAAGTGCAAGGACAAGCCTTTCACCACATGACTTCACCACCACAGAATTGATATTATGCTGAAATCACAACATCAAATGCTTTTAAAAGTATAGTTGAACTCCCAACCGCTATTAAAGGTGAAGTAGCAGCTAATCCAGGTCCACTGAAAATTTGATGAATCTGTGTTAATTTTTTTTTATTCCTTTTCCACAAATGTATTACTCCAGCATGGACATTTATCCAGAGAGTGAAATTAGTTAAATTCAGCACTTTCTTTGTGAAGAAAAGATCTTTCCTGGGAACACTGGTATTTCTGAATCAGTGCTGATTGTACCCCGGAGGGAAGACTCTGACATATGGAGCTCTTAAAAGATTTACTACCCAGGTATCTCTTCTTAGTCCCTTGTGCCATTTTTCTGCTGTGGAGATTACCAGGTGAGAGCTAGAGATTCACTTTTAAGGCACAGAGCAATTGGTAGGGCATTCGGGGGGCAATCCTTTCTGTTTGGATACTGAAGCTTTCTTTATTTTACCTTCAGGACACTGCAGACCTGTTTTTCATTTTCTGCATGCCATGGATTGAAAGAAGGCTAACGGGACAGTGTGAGGATCTGAAATGCTTTTTAAACCTCCTAAAAATAAAATGTCGATTTAGCAAATACTTAACTACTTTTGAAAAGCCGGTCAAAGAACACCAAGAAAACAGAAGAGAATCTCCGTTTTATATTCCAATGTTAAATGCATATTGTTTCAGTCATTAGCAGAAGTAGAGCCACTATTATTATTACTGCAATTATTATATTGCCATTATAAATTCTAATTGTGTGGAAAAGCTATTATTTATATCAGAACTTCATAAAAAGCAAAAAAAAAAGATTTAAATCTACAGTCTGACTCTGACTTAGGAAATTTTCACAGAAGTTGTTACTGACACCTATATAATAGCATAATGGTAAACAATAAAATCAGTGCATTGCAAATACGCACTCCCTATCTGCAGTGAAAATGTTTTATTCTTAGGTATTTAAATACGCAGAGGAACTCAGAAACTGGGACTATCAGATTAAACTCCAGGTTGTTCGGTACTTGCCAATACTATAGTTGATTATATATCTAAAAAGTGAAGGGGAGTGAAAAACAACTTTCAGAATGTTATGAAATAAGGAGGAATTCTCACTATATTAGACATATTAGTGAAGTTAATCAAGTAGGTACCCTGTGTGTGAGCTGCTGAGAAAATGAAGAATTCCTCATATATATGCATATATATACATATATATTTTTTAGGGAGTAAGAAGGTGGAAAACACAGGTAATTTTACAAGACCTGTGGTTCTGTTTTATTAGTTCTTTGTTCCGTTGTTAGCACTTAATCTCAAAACACTGTTTTTTCTTTTTTTTTTTTTAATTTTTAGACAAAAAATATTAACTGTGCACTGCTCACACAGCAACTACATACATGTCTGCTTTCCATCCAAGGCAGAGGAAAGCAATAGCACCCCCACACCACGTGCAGTGGGAGTTGTGAAATATGCCACGGTGCCATCTACTGCTGCACAGGCACTACAAGGTGTTTGCTTTTTTATCTCACAGCCACTTCTTTCTAAACGCTAGGAGCTGTGTTAGGTACTATATCCATTTTTAGACCTGAATTTCTTCTCTTTTAGTGTTTTGTGACCACAACCTGAACATTTGCACAGAATCACAGAATGGTTGAGGTTGGAAGGGACCTCTAGAGATCATCTAGTGCAACCCCCCTGCTCCAGCAGGGACACCCAGAGCACGTGGCACATGGTCACATCCCTCTAATGCAGTTTCTTGAGGGGAATCATTCTTCCTCTTCAGTTCAAGGTCTGCCTTTTTATGAAATACTGTTGTGAATCTATATTTTTTTCCAAATGCATTATATACCTGAAATTAAGCCACAAAATGATTCTGTAGCAGTCAGTCAGTTTCTGAAAGGTGTTTTATTATTCAAAATTAACCAAGAAGCTTAGTGACCTCTTCCCTTTCCTATTTGTAGTGAGAGGAAAAAAATGGCTAAGAATAAATATTTATCTAACAGTATCTTACCTCAAAAGAATAGCCAAGAAAGATCAGCAATGCCAATTTGCAAGAGATAGAAACAGCGCATCCTGCCACTCAGTGGCTAGAAAGCAGACTTGATATCCGTGACTAGACATGGAAAGGGTCTGAAGCTTGCTCAGGAAAAAGCAGCTTCATTCACTTTGCTATGTAGTTTATCTCAAAGCTGAGAATAAATGCAGTGTCTGTTGCTAAATGCATGTCAAATAATGAATATTCTTACTTCCAATTTGTTAAAAATTACATAGCATAACGAGAGCTGTGTTTGTGTAAAAGAAATAGTTCTCTACATTAAATATACTTAATTTTACACAAACACATTCTTTATTGGAAAAATTTCTGTTTGTTTTAACTGCCCCAGTTACATATAATTTACCCAGTTCTTAACACTGTTAATAATTATGCCTGAGCTTTTCAACTCATTAAGCCTGTTTACATTTATTACCTCAGTCACAAAATGGTTCTCAACCAGGTACTTTTCCCTCTCAGCGTGTGTATGCATTTCTCAATTCATAACGAAGGCAAGAAGGTAGTTATTTTAATTATGAGTGTTGACCCCGTGCTTTGATTTATGCAGGCTTTTTTATTATTTTTTTTTAAATTGCTTTTTACCGTTTGGAGGGATCTGTGCAGTTTGAGTCAAAGCAGCAATTTTCTCTCCCATGTACTCGTGTTTTAACCAGCAGATGGAGCCAAGCAACCACAAACCACTTAATCCCCACTACCTTGCGATACCCGCCGGGGTAGGAGCGCCTGTTACCTTGTATTCCTGAACCATCCCGTTGCGGTTATCCTCCGGGGGCGGCTGCCAGGTGACCACAATCGCAGTCCCGTTCCCGTCATTTTTAGTAACTGAAACACTTTGCGGGGGAGCACTAGGAGCTGTTCAGGAGGGAAAAATCAAAAGGTTAAGCTTGAAAAGAGCAGCAGCCACCTTTTTTAAGATGGAGCTGTCTTTGGAGTCCACGTGTTCTGTTTTGGGCTATGTGAGTGCCGTTTTTTCACTCCGTAACCTTCATTGAGTGCAATTCTTGTCCATGAGTGAACATGATGCACAAGGAAGGGATGCGAACCTACAGCCAGGCCCTGAGTTCTGCTGTCCTATCCCTATTATAGACTGAAAAAGTCACACAGGTCACAAGATTTGCCCAATCTTTGGGTGCCCTTTATCTGATTGCCAGAATTTCCAAGAAGTGAACTCCTCATTGGTCTTAAATCAGCTCACCCAGGAGCCACAGCCTTGAAAAGTACAGCCTGTAAGTTGACCCTGATGGAACGCTAAACCTCAGTTCCTCTACTGTGTGAGTAATATTAAATAACACAAGCTGACTAAAATCAAAGAAAAATGCACTTTCACTGCACTAAAATCAAGGAAAAATCCCATCATTGACAGTTCTTTTTTTTTTTTTTTAATTTTAAACCACCTTGCTAAAACTAGATGCTTAAATGATGCTTAGGATGAACACATTTAAGCACACTGCTAGCAGCACGCGCAGGGCTAATTTAATCTCGAGCTAAAGAGGATGTCTATAGGGGAGGGAGAGAGAAGGGAAAAGGTATCACATCCCAACAGATGCACTGAAATCCCTGCTCAGAAGCTCTGGCCATCTCGCATACCTATTATGCCTGAGCTACCAGAAGAGCCACGACAAAAGGAACGGCTTTATGAGCCTTCCCTTTTTAGCACATGTATGAGATGGAAATACATAATTTAGTCCACCCTGTCTGCTGCCCTCATTCATCTTTTCATTTTGAACTTGTGATTGATCCAGATATAAAAGCCCTTTTTTTTTTAAAAAAAAAATGTGGTTTCCATTCCCCCGGCCACAGTGCTTTGATGATTTCTGTGGTGTCTGCTATCTACTCAAGATAGTGATTAGTAAGTGTCTGAATCTGACAGAAGTCACTTGTGACCAGACCATGAACTCAGTGGGGAGGAGCGCACACAACGCCGAAGATAAAAAGCACATTTCCCATTGTGTGTTGGATGGGGAGGGGGGTTGTACATCCCTCTCTCTCTCCGTCTCTTGTGCCTCCTTCTGAATATTTACTCCCGTGTCACCAAACAAGTCACATAATGATCCGCCCAATGCAGAGTCTCTTCTGCCGCAGACTGTTGCTCCCCTGCAGCCCCCACTTCAAACGAAATCAAACAGCGAACAGATCAGAGCCAAACAGGCTGGGATACTACTTCAAAAAGGCGAGACGAAGACAGCCTTGCTCCTACTTGCCTTCTTCGAGGGTTTTGGCAAATTTCACTTCACTGTCTGCTCCTTGAAACTCGTTGAAAAAAGGGCGGGCCTTGATTTCATAGTTAACACCTTTCTTCAGCTCTGGAATGATAGCGCTGTTTTTGGTTGGAGTCTTCACTTCAAAAATTAGCCATTCTGATTCTCCATAGGATGCTGGTGTAGGCCGGTACAGAATTTTATATCCTTGAATATACTGCGATTGCTGGTCCACCTGGCAAAACAGCAGAAAAGTGCTTTAGGACACAAAACAAATTGTTAAATAAACATAAACTGTGAATGCTGTGAATGACATTACGCATGGTCCTCTATTTTATTTTATTCCAAGTAAACAACACCACCAAACCAGGTAAAAGCTCCTTGAATTACAGCAAATTACAGGCCTGACACAGAAGCGCATTAATCCATTTGACACTGGTAGAACAGCACCATTTCCAGTGGATTTATTTCTACTTGCCGAAAGCTGGAGTGGAAGGAGCTTCCAAACGTGCTCTGTAGACCAGCGGGCACGAGGGGAAAGGGAGGACGGTGAGGGCAGGGGACCTGCACCTCTGTAATTGGGGATGACGAATGCAGAGATCAAACAGAGAAACCTGCCAGCTCTCCCGAGATGTGGAAGCCTCCCAAACGCACAAAACGAGCAGTGCTTCCTCCCACTTCCTTCTGAAGAAAGTGATTTAAAAGGGCAGCCAACTGGCACTATCTGCCTGGCGCTGATTAGGTTCCTCTCAGGCAAAGGGCAGGTTTCTCCAGGCACTTCCTCCACCTTTGCAGGTGACTGACTGCCCTAGCAGGGGGCTGCTCTGCTGGGAGAAAGCTGCTGGTTTAAAAAGAGGCCCGTAAAAATCAGTATGACAGGACAGAAGGGGACTATTCGCAAAAGTGGATCAAATGATATTCCGTGGTCCTGACTGCACTCTAGACTGAGGACATATCTTAAATGAGTGATCTCTTGCAAAACATCCACTATGCTTTAACTCCTGGATTCAGTATCTGAGAAATAAGAAAGTCCAACAAATGAAAGCCTTTTCAAAAAGTGCATCAGATTTTCTCTGTTTTCCAAAATCTCAGGTGGTGATATAATAAAACTGCTTGGTTGCAGTTTTCCTCCAAAAAGCAACATGCTTTATTTTTAATAATCGTGTAAAGAATACATGTGTTAGCTAACACTGAGGTAATGCTTACTTTTGAAATTGCAGAGAAGCCACAGGCCACCCAAGAGACTGACAAAAACTGGCTGTCTGGAAAAGGTTGCTCTGTAAGTAAAGGTCAAACAAAATTGCGCTAGGAACCTCGGAGATGTTATTAGTTAAAACACGAGGTTGCCTGCTGCAGGTGGCCCTCCTGCAGGTGACAGTGTAATTAGCGTGCAACATTATTATTTGTATTCTTGCATCAACAAGGAGCCCTGGTCATGGACAAGGACTCCTTTGGGCTAGCCAAAAGCTTTGAAAAATGGTCAGTCTGCCATCACCTGGCAGGGGCTTTGCTCCCCTATATGCTCTCCTATTCACTTCTGCAGACAAGAACTCCGAAAAGACCTTTGGGATTTATTGTCACACTGGTAAAATTGTCCCCCATTCTTCCTTCATTCTGCATTCTGTTTTAAAGCTCTTTGAATTTTTATCTCATAATTTATTATTCTGTCTTTCCTATGTTCTTCTTCACCTTTTTATTCCAGAATATTTTCCACTCTGAGCCATTTCTAATTCCTTTTTTTTCAATGAGACATCAGCCTGGTAAGCTTTCTTCAATGTGTTTCATGTATGTTCTTATTCCCCTCACTTTAGGACTCCCGCAGTATCTTTTCCTCACTCTCTCATTTCCTCTCCTACTACATTCTCCATATGTCCAGCTCTCTGCTTCCTCCTGTCAGAGCCAGCCTCAAAAGACTGTTTGCCATTTTCCTCTCCTCCCTGCACTGCATATATTCAATGCACCTTGGGGAGATGCATAGGTTCAGATGAAACTTTGAAGGTGTGGGTGTATTTCTCAGTGTGCTTGTAGGATGGAGGTAACTCTTTCAAGCAGAATTATGCGCCATATCTCTCCCCATAATGATTGACAGACTGGGAAATGTGGATGTTATCTCAAAGACATTGGGGAACTGATACACTTCCTGCACTGAAAGCAGTGCAAAAGCCTCAAATGATTAGACTTTAGCTCTAGGGGAGGACTTTGAAACTCTCACTATACAGTGACACTATAGCAGTACTACCCACAGAGACACAAAATGTTGAAAAGTGATCGAAATTTAATGATGTAGATTAGCAAAGTCCAAGTCGTACTCTAGTTCCAAAGGAAAAATAAAACAAAACAAAAAAATGCAAGTACACAAACTCCACAGCTTCTTACGGTGCACACTGGTGCAATCCAGCAATGCATATAACCATCTATACTTACAGTCCAATGAACTTCAATTGAGGATGAAGAAAGAATAGTAGGATTGTGCAGATGCAGTACCACATCCCCTAGTTCTCTCTGGACCTGCTTGTGATCCACACCTTGACTTGTTGGTGGAATATCTGTAATAATTTAAGATTCCAGTCTCACAAATATGTCATTGATAAGTATATGCAGATACAAATAAATGTACCATAAAATGATGCTATAATCAGTATATGATGCTGTAATCAGTAGAGTTTACCCTGAGTACCTTCCAATTATGCCTACATAATTGGAACTACAATACCACTTAAAGTGTTTTCTTGAGCAAATCACCAATGCTTGGTAAGTACCCAATCAATACACTGCACTTCCTTTGAAATAAAGAAATGTGAGAAAACTACTGGATAAAAAGAAAGAACTACTCAGGGATATCCATGGTAAGTGACTACAGTAGCATCTCTTTCTTGCAGGGAGGAGAAAACTTTTTACTGCTGAGTTAAAATTCCAAGAGACTAGCAGATCTACAATGATGGGCAGAAACAGAAGCTGTGTTTCCAAATACACTCATGGAAAATCTTGTATAATATTTTTAATTCAAAAAAAAAGGTATAACAGCAGAAGAGAAGGCTGCTGCTTCTCTGATGGCAAATGTGTCCTGTAAACAGGAGAGCACAGTTGATGACTCACTCTCCCAATACTTGGTTTTGGCAGCTTGTAGCTAAAAGAATTGTTCATGCACATGAAGGAGATTTTCCCCTCAAAATATTCAGTGGTTTGAGCCTGTATAATGGAAACACATTTTCTGCATGCAGAGCTCTTATGCAGAAAGCATACTTAACTCAAATGGAATGACTGTCCTAGACATCTATAAAATTTATAGGGCAATCACTAATAGAGTGGCTAAAATATACATGTACTATGGACAGCAGAGTAGACATAGTTTCTATATTGATTTCATATGTCTCCCTTTGATCACCTCATTTGAAACAAATACCATGCTGACAACAGTTAAAATCACAGACTGGGAAATTCATGAAAAGTACTTAAAGTCATTTTTTTTTTACAACTCCAGATACAGAGTAATGGAGTAATGCATTGCATGCACTTTGCTCTAGCCTACTTTTTCCCTGTCTGACCTCCTCCAGTGATTAGGCAAGATCAGGAAATCTTCAATGTTTCTGTTCTCTGAAGTACTCAGTAAGACCATGGTAATTTCCATACCTACCTGCTCACAAGAAGAGCCAGAGAGAGAGTACACAGAAACAGTGTATGCATTTATCTACAGCTACAATTACTGTAGTAAGTCATTGCAGGTGTGTAAACTATCTGGAAAGCTGAGGTCTGGATAGTACAGCAGATGAAACATATTAAATGAAAGTACAGTAGTTGTTAAGCATGCTTTATGACACGGTGGTTATATTTTCAGTTTACCAGTTCATGCCTAAATAATGATAAAAAATGTTAGGCTTCATTAAAAATAACAGCATAAAGACATGCTTCTTTTCCAGAAATACAGCTCCCATTTTAAGCACAGAAAGCCCAAGCCACTCGCACTCTTGTCATACAGCTCATTCAACATATTCACAAGAACATAATCACAAGATATTTAAAGTTAAAGAAGCAAAGTGAGGTTACCACATAGATACTGGGTGACAAATCTGGATTTTTTTTTTTTTGAAATGAGTACAGGGAAAGTAAAAAAAGAACAAAACACCCCAGAGTCACTGTAATATGCTCTGTGAAATGGTCAAAGCATTTTGTCTCCCTCAGTCTGACAATCTTAAAGATAGAAACTTCTGTTTGGAGGTTGCCTACAACTCTATTCTTTCCACTTACAATGCAACAGAAAAGCCAGTGAAGTAGTGATATCTTCTCTACTAGCTACAAGAGATGAGTCACTAACACTACAAGTAAAACTATGGGCAAAATGCTCAGCTATTTGCACATCTGTGCTACGCAATGCCTATTATCTATCCCATATTTTCTTGTTTATCTCTAAGCTTCCAGGACCAGGACTGTCCTGTAACAACTACTTCAGCATATCATCATTGTTGGCAAAGCTGAAATACAAGGTTGCTCGTTTGGATGTGCATTTGGTAGAAGAGCAAAGCCCCGTGAATGAAAAGTTAAGTGGGAAACTAGACCCAAGTTAGCTAGGGCACTACTTACATAAAACTGAAACGGGCTCAGAAGAAGAGCAGAAATGCTTTAAAAAACTTCTCTCTTTATAACATTCTTATTACTGATGGAAATTTTATCTATGGGCTATTAATTCCCTGCTTAGGCTTTGGGTGGTTCTTGATTCTTCAGGTCCAGCTGCTGCCCAAAGGCCCACTGAATCTCTCCCTGCCATTATAAACCATCCCATCCTGTGCAGCAGCAGGATATTATGCCTCATTCACCATTTATCAGAGTCAGGCCAATGATCACTTCATCTGGCACATGCAGACCTTATATTGCATCTCATCTCTAAGCATGAAACCACACTGGATAAAAAACTCATAACATAGCAGCACATATTACCTGGTGTGTGAATTTCTAGCAATACAGACATCACTGAAAAGCAATTAAACCTCTTCTTGCCAACAGACCCAGGAACTTGTGGCATTCCCACTTTCTATCTGGCCATGACTCTACTGACCATATATTTAGGGAAATTGCCACCCAGCAGGAGACTGGCAGAGTGTGTAGTGTGAAAACTATTCATTCCCCATTAGAGACAGGAAAGACTTGAGTTCAAACTGACTTCAGAACAAATAAAAAGTCACTAACTGAAAAAAAGCTTTGTTTTCCTTCAGGAACTTCCTTTCAAAAACAAACATGTACTTACTTATCCAAACAAAGAAACAAACATACAACAGAGATGCTCTTTATTAGGGAATGGGTCTAATTCTCCTGTAGATGATCTCTTTTGCTTTTACTTTGAAAAAAAATAGCATGTTCATTTTATTCTCTATCTGTTCTTAAAAATCCAAGTGTTCATACTGGAAAAATGGAGGCTGTGAATTTGCACTGCATTATCCCCTGTACACTGCCATAATTGTCATTTATTTTCTATATTGAACACAAATTGATTATAAATTTTACATAGTTGGATTTAGGAAGAGTAGCTGACGATGGTAGCTTAAAGCCTATTTCTCATTCCTAATGAAGTAGAAGCTCATTTAAACTATATGCTGTTCTTCTCTCAGTCTGAATCTTAGGGATCTTTAGACATACCAGTGAATTCTGAGAGTTGTGTGAGATCTGAGACTACTTTTGTTCTTTTAAAAAGAGCTATTCTGCCAGATGTAACTGTCTTTTGCTAAGAAATGCTAGGGTTCCTTTAGGCAATGCCATGGGCCTTCTAAAGAGTTTTAAGAACCTCTCATACAGAGAAATCAAGTCTGAATGCTGTGTTTTACTACCTAGAACACATTACAGCATGCACAGATAGATAGAGGAAAGCCAGAAGAATTCCTGCATCCAGTGTAGTCCATTTGTGACAGCCACAGGAGGTGCCCCAAATGTTCAACATTTAAAGCTTACCTTGAGTTTTCACTGGATCAGATATTTGGCTAGGGTCACTAAGTCCATAGGCATTAGCTGCTCTCACAAGGAATAGATAAATTGCACTAGGTTTTAGGCCTTTAACTGCAAAACTCTCTGTTTTCACATTTTCAGCTACAGTTTGCCAGCTGCTACCAGACGCATGGCTAAGGATAAAGCAAAAACAGCAGGTAAGTATGTGCTTTTCTCTAGCAATATATTTTATACATAACACACGTATAGCAAGATCACATAAGTCTCATATACCTGAAGGCCTCAATTATGTAAGAGGTTGGAGTTGCACCTGAATTCAAATTAGGTTGCCATGACAATGTTACAGTATTTCTGCTGACATCTGTAACCTCAGGTTTTGATGGAGCACTAGGAATCAAGTTTGGGTCAGTGGGTCTCGGTGGTTGCACTGGGACTCCAAATTCTAACAAAAGAGAGAGAAAAGCAATGTATAGACAGGAAGCAGCTGTAAGCTGAATGCTGTTCACATCCGCATCTGCTCAGACAATTTACGACAGTGTCAGATAACTGCTACATTTCAATTTCTGATTTTCTTTTATGTATTTTCTCCATGCAGAGCAACCCTAATTGATTTACCTTGGACCTCTATGTAAGCGCTCCACGTAGCTTCGCCACTTGGGGTTGAGGCAATGCAGGTGTACCGACCGGTGTCACCCAGCTGAGTGTGAAAAGAGAAGAATAAATATTTGAAACAATCAGGCACTCAGTGGGCTAGAAAAGTAATTACAGATCTGTACATTCCCCCATGAATATGGATAAACACATTAGACTGCAGAAACTTTGAACCAGAAACTTCTTATGGTAAATGGTATGTTTTCACACGCTATAAAATGAAAAGGGGTACATATTTTTGAACATTCTTTAAAGGGATGAAAGTGCTGCACATGCTAATTAAATATTTCCCACTCTCTAACGAACAAAATGAAGGCCAAATCTTGCAGCATTTATTCCATGCCCTGCGGAGCCCCTTTGGAATAAACTGAGAAGGAACTCAGATGACAAGGCCCCATGCAACCCTCGGCCTTCTGCCTAAATGACGTCTAGGGATTTGTCTGGGCTGCAACTCTGGAGAGAATGTCATCCTTAAAGAAAGCTTAAATATTGCACAGGGCACTTATTGGGTTCTCTCTGCTAGTATAAATTTCACTCTACAGGAGACCCAATGAAGGATCTCCATATGCTATTCCCATCCATTTCTGAATGCTGGATTATTTGTCCATATGTGATTTAATCACATTTCAAAAGAGGGATTTTTTGTTTTTGCAAAGAAATGCTACTCTCCTGAGGTCTCACTCTCAACAGATGAGCTAAAAGGAAGAACTCACAAATCAGAGGTTCAAATTCCATGACAGTGTAACTTGTAATCAGTAATAAGGCTACTCTAGGGAACAGAGCAAAGTCAGATATTTGGCCTCATTTTAAGAATTACTATGTCTCGAATCTTTTCTGTAATCTCAAATCACAGAAAAGATAGCAGAGAATAACCAGTAATCTTAAAATTAACATTTTAAAACATTTTACAATTTGGTCAACATGACTAGCAATACCAATCAGGTATTTTGCCTCAGTTGCTTAAGGAATCCATTTACTGACAAGTGCTGAATCATTTTAAAATATGCTTAAACTGTCAAATAGATACATTTAGCACTTCAAAATTACATCTAAAAACCTGTGTAGGCTAGTCTATTACTGCAGTAGCAAAGGCGTGTTGAACGAAAGGATGCTGGACGACGGTATGTTTGAAATAATTTAGATCACTTTTATCTATGAGCAATGAAGCCATAATCATTCTATGATTCATCTTACTCAAATACAAGCTTTGCTTCCCCTTCATGTTTTAAGTATCAAATAATTCCCTTAATTAACATTTCTTAGAAAAAAAAAATTCCTTATGAAACCTGAAATAATGTGCCCTGGGCTGAATAAGCCAAGGTATTAAGTAAAAAGAATGAACTATCTGAAAGCACGAAGTATCAAACTGAAATATTTTCATGCAATTATTTAACATTTCATTCATTCTTAAAGTAGTATTTGCTATGTTATAAGCGCCCGGGGAAAGAAAGAAAGAAAGAAAGAAAAAAGCAAGACAAACAGCAAGAAAAGCCAGCTGAGAAAGCAGAGCTTGTCAGTTCAAGTTACCTTGGCGTATCGGATCTGTAACGCTCCTGTCTCTAGCTGCTTGATGCGTGAGTCCTGGGTAGACATCAGAGCCCCATCTTTCTTCCAGAGGATAGTGGGCATTAAAGTGCCCGTGGCTACACAGTTCAGCACTAACGTACCATCCACAGCTACAGTCTGATTCACAGGACCCTGTCGAATGACAGGGGGAGGCCGGTCTGCGATCACTGCCAGGAGAAACAACAAGAAATGGATTTCTGCAACTGGAAGCAATTTTTTAATCATCTAAGCAACAGTGGTTGCTTGAGGCTCTGAAACGAACTAAAGATAATTAAGAAAGTAATTAAAGCTGGAGGTACGTGTTATGCAGGGCAGGGTGCATTAATATGATGCGCAGCTACAGGATTTTTCATGATATACAACCCAGTATTTTCGTAAGGGAAAGACTGGTAATCTATTTGCTAGATATTCTTTAAATTCCATGGTCTTTATAAAATGATAAGGAAATATATGATTGATATAATCCAATTGATAAAGAAAGGTCATCCCGATTTCTTTGTAAAGGTGCAGATTTCACTTTGTTCATCTCCTACCATGTAGCAGGTCTATACATGAGGGTTTCTGCTGCTGCACTTAAAGACAGAAAAGGAAGAAAGTAGGCAGGGGATAACTTGTGTATCATGAACTCATCCTTGTGCTGATTCCTAATTGAGAGATGCCCAACAGTTGGTGAGAATAAGCATGAAGCTAACACATAGGGCCCTATTCAATTTTTTTCACTTAAGAAATATTTTTCCGGTAGTTTCTAACTTGCAGCTCTACAATGGCTTAATCTATGCAAGGTCAAAATCTCAAGGAGAATTTTACCTTTTTTTTTTTTTTTTACTTTTTTTTTGCATTAATTTTAATGCATCTTTCACCGCGCAAAAATTAAATGTATATGATGAATTACTTAATAACTATGCCCAGAAAGGTACAAAGCAGAGTTAGTGTTCACAGAAACAGGAATGACTGCCTACTTGCTTTTTTTTCTTATCAGTGAGTAATTAGTAAAGCAGTAAAAGATATTTTATTGCCCTTCAGTTATCTCCTCTATCATCCAGCATAGCATGGACTAAGGATCTAAAAATAGTCACAACTTTAAATGACATGTATCTGCTTAGCAGTATCAACAGTTGCACCAAGGCAACTTCAACTCTGGTTTCACACTAAAATATAAAACTGATTTCCTGATCATTTGTGAACATTATGTATTTCTAGATTACTTTTTTGTAACAGGAGGGTGTTAACATTGCATTCTTTGGTTAAATTCCAAATTCTGTAATTTCATTTGCATGTTTAAATGAAACTGTACTTTCAATTGCGTAATTTATCCTTTACTTCTTGTCCCAACCTGTTGTAACACACAGCAATGCATTTCTGTTAGGCCTCTATCTTTCTCTTCAGAGACAGCCAAAACAAATCCACACATAGTTTGTATTTAACTTTGTTGAGTTTGCAAAGAGCTTTGCAGTTGTCAATCAAAGCAGATTCGACACAAAATTTGCTCCTAATTTTCCAAGCAATACATTTCATTTGAACTTTATACTTAAATACTTATCCTTTGCTTTACTATTAATTATTGCTATTTAATGTTAAATAACTTACAAATTGGCATAAACATAAACAGGTATGGCAACACGTTGATGTAATGTCAAATAGTTAAAAAACACGTAGAAAATAATCGGAAGTAATATGTATGTTTCTATTATCGACCAGAGTTGATTTCACAGTATCTTTATTCTCTCTACCCACTCCAATAGCTGACCAATGGGTGCTCTACAGGTGGAATCCAGTACTTTTGAAAGTGGTGAGCAAAGGATACAAAGTTAGGCAACAAGCAATCCAAAAGTAAATTCTAGTGGGGGAAACTGAAAAAAAAGCCAGATAAGTGAAGAGACCACACAAAAATTCATAGTCTTTAGTGTACTTATTAAATGAAAGTGGCAATACTATATTCCACAATATCTAAAATTTTTACCCCCAATAGAGACAATGCAAACAGGATTTTTAGATTCAAAGAAAAAATGCATGCAATCTGCAAAACAGACATCAATATAGTATCAAAATAAAAATAAAAACTTGAGGATTTTTTTTTTGTTTTTACCATCAGTAACTTCCAAGTAGGCTTTTGTTATGATACTTCCTGCAACATTTAGAGTCTGGCAGATATAGTACCCAACATCAGATCTCTGGACGTTGGTGATAGTGAGGTCACCTGTCTGGGAAACTGAAAAACGGCTGGATGACTGAGGGGGTTGGTATGAGAAAAGCAGATTCTAGAAGATGTAGAGGAAAGAAAGGGAAAAAAATGGGTTAAATAAATTCAAACATCAATAAATTCAAAAATCACTAACTAAATAAGTTTTAAAATCTTTTCACTTTAAACACATATGTATTATGCTATTCTTATATTTCTGTTATTTGTATCTTGAGTGTATACACAGCAATGTGTACAGCTTTTTTAGGATGTTTTATAATGAAGTAGGTCCAAATATACACTTATAACTACGTACGTCTTTTGGATGATTCTAATGCCCTCTCTAGTCAATGGCGGCTTTTAAACAAATTTTAAGGAGCACTAGCAAAGTCCTCAAATGTGTATTTACCATAATGGTGCAAATAAATTGCTTCAACCCCTTTTCTTTCAGAACCTAGTCCAGGACATTCTATTTATTCTGTTTCAAGAACAAATTTTGGCTTACTAACTGATATTTTAATTTTGACTTCCTAAGAAAGGAGCAGTTTTATAAAAAAAGATGCTATGTAAGTCTCTCTGATCATAGTGTTCCTGTTCTATAATCACTCTTTTATTGCATAATTAGATCTTATGTCAGCTTCTGCTTAGATAGTTTTGGTATAAAGTGCACGGTTTGTTACCAACAATGGTCAGAAGTCAGAACTGAAACCATAATAGTACAGGTCTGTTACGTCAAATACTGCTTTCAAATTTCTACCTCTGGTAGAATAATTTGTGAATGAGAATATTTGAAGTTCATAGAGGCTCTTCTTTAATTTCACTCTTGCTCTCTCACCTAGCTGCATTTTGCATTTCCCAAAAGCATCCTATCCAAATCTGAAGATTATTCCTAAGGAATAAGGAATAATGAAGGAAAAGGACAAAAAATCTTTTAATTTGGTGTTGGTAAATGCTAGCCATCAGCCTTGCCTATTTCATCACTAGTGACCAACATGCAACATAGCTAAAACTGTGCCAAACTAGCCAAACTGTACTAGACAAACTTTGGCAGAAAAACGGGTCATACAGAAATGTAAATATATGAGTTTATATATATATTAAAGTTTACTATCTGGATTTGTTAACTAGTCTAGATTTACTTACATATTTAGACAAAATGCTGTAAATGGAGTAAAGGAGTTGATCTCCAAAAGTTCTCAGTTTCTCTGGACTATTATTTTATAAAGAAAAGAATTCTATCATATACTATTACAACTACTCATTCCTTCAATCACAGGAAAAACAGAATCCCATACTCCTTATTTTCCTTCAATACAGAATACTTTGCATAAGATCACTCCTTCAAAAGATGACCTTGAAAGAAAACTGATTCTCTTGCTCTGTTATATTGTCTTTCATCTCCAGTCTTTATAGATTCTTCATAAAGAAGCTGATTTTTTTTTCTCCCATTCCAACAAGGAAGCTGGGAGAAAAAGTGACCTGCCAGTCAAGTGGCTGAGTGGGAAAATAAATCTCCTTAGCCCCAAATGAATGTGCTGTCCCTGCAACGACACAGATCAATATGACACAGTTTTGTTCTCCAGAGACACATAAACATGGCAAACTAATAGCTCCATCATAAAGCCAGAGCAAAACTTGCTAAGAATTTGGGAGCATATACTATGATATAGAACTTTAGCCTCCTTTAATATGATTCAAGTCTTCACCTCTTAAACATTTCTCCCTGATAGGTGAGAAAGAAAACAGTAGTGAAACATGATATGTTCCCTGTTGGTTCATAAATTTATCTTTACATTCATTGGTCAAATGGGAGATTGAGTAAAACACAACTTTCCTGTTCAGTAAGGCTGACACCACTTAGCATGCACATGACACAGAATTTGAGAAGAAATGTCTAGTACATCTAAGCCCTAAAGCAGTTTTCCAAATCTTAAAAGGGGTATTTTTTTTGCCTTGTGTGACATCATCCCCTCAAGAAATTCACAGGAATAAAGGTCAGAAAGTCTGTTTTACCTGACTTCCCTCTCTCCGCCAGAAGATGGCTGGCTGAGGGTTTCCGGTTGCTTCACACTGGAAAGTCACTGTTCTTCCCAGTGCAGCTACCTGATCACGGGGCTTTACAACAAACTGTGGAGGCTCTGAAAGAGGAAAAAAAATACACTATGGTTAGAAGATCAAAGTTTGCGTATTTGAAACCTCTCTCGTATGGAGAGACAGCACAGACAGTCTGACAGTCACTGCTTTACCTTCACTTAGATCAGGTCCTCTGTTGCTGGGCCTCCCCATTAAAACCCTGACTGTGCATCATTTGCTTTTATTAGTGACTCTTATAGAGGAAAGTAACTCCCATGGACTTAACGGGTCAACCTCTAGAGTGAAATTCACCAATCTGAACAAATCTGTTGCAATTCGGTTTTAAAAGAGGAGATTGGCTAGAAGTGACAACGGAGAAATCTTTGAGTGACAACTGGCTCACAGGCCGCACTTTGGCAGGGGCTAGACTAAACACTGTTGTGTAGCTAGGAATCCAGGCTTACAAGGGCAGAAGCTGACATCTCAGTTTTAGGAAAACTGAGGAGGAAAAAAAAGCGCTTAATTGCTTTTATAAGAGACTTTTGATGTAGGCAGGCTCTCAAAATTTTTCAGTTTAACTCAACTCAAAAGCCCCAGAAATACTATTGAACAAATTATATCTATTTAAAATCTTCAATCCAATGATTGAAAAGGAATGAATTTAAAGCAACAGTGGAGCTGAATGTCTCCTTCATTTACCTAGGCAAGGGCATGTTCAAACAAAATATATATGCAAATGAAGTCAAATTTGAAACATCTGCTCATCCTAACATTATAAATACTGCCAGCATTGTCCAAACTCTCTGGTTTATACAGACTTCAACAACCATTTTTATCCAGTAGTAAATAGAGTGTCAAAAAAATATGTCAGTCACATTTAAAAGAAAAAGTCAACATAGTTGACAGCATTAGATATGTTGATGGGACTAGTGGAGAAAAAAATAATATCTGGCTTGTTTTAGGCTCTTCACTTTCACTCTTTGAAAGATGTGCATTAAATGAAAGTCCATTTACTTAGTGTTTATGCATTTCCATTTCCTTTCTGATCGTCTGTCCAAAACTAATTATTCTCTCCCTCTTGCCTGGGTAGAAGAATACAGAGAATATTTTGAATCAAATTTTAATAACTTGATTTTTTTTCTTCTTTTAAAAATCTCTATCTACGAGCTTTTCTTTAAAAAGGGTAGAAATAATGCCATTTAAAGATACAGCTCAATGTGTACAAAAACCAAGTAACTGTGAATTTAACTAAGATGAATTCAGTAATACTAAAAGTCCTGTCTAGACAATTTGCTTTCGTTGGTCATGTGGGCCATTATTTTACTTATCTGTTTCACTTGTTTGTGTCTCCACTTGCTGTTGATCTCATACTAGAATATACTGTTTCTATTACCCTCTGCCTCAGGGGGAATATTTAAAGCACAATGTGGCATTATTTACATTTAGATGCAAATGCTACCATTCCCTAGAATTTCCTTAGATAAGAGAATGTGCGAAGTTCAGGTCAAACTGACCTACAGTAATTACCACACTTCAAAACATTTAATGTTGAAACATTCAATCAAGATCTTGGAAGAGGATATGGGAAGATATTGACATGATAGCATGTTCAATTTAGGATGAAAAGTGAAAATGTTGAGGATTTGCCACAGGGTTGCATGGTATGATTGGGAAAATGGAGATGAGGGTGAAGTACCTTCATTATGCTGTTGGAATTTTAATAGCAAGAATAAATTAAGTGCATCTAGGGCTTGGATAGCTGTGTACTAGACTGTGACACAATACCAAACAAAAGGGAAGTTAGGGTTTCTAAACACTCTGCTAGTGCATATGATTTATATGGTTTCGGATTTCACTGCACTTGAAAAGGGATATACTTCTCAAGAGAATACAAAAGTTGTGATCACCAAAGAGACAGCTGAATCCTTGTGATTCTAATACCTGAAGTTCAGGAAGTACTGAACAGGAAAACTTAGGGGAAATTTAGTCCCTTGGATAACTACAATAGAATTTACAAGCTCTAAATACGTATACATCCTTATGTATAGCATGTTAAATGTGTTATGCATGTCAATTACTCTAAATATACATGTATAATATTCTAAATCTACGCCCATTACATTAAAGAATAAAAATCCTATTAACTTTACTGCCAGAAGAATTAGAACAGGATTAAGTAAAACTATGCTTTTGTCATTCCAATATTGAATGGACTGGAAGCATTTTCTTTTTTTTTAATTTCAGTTTGCTTTTACAAATACATAGTCAGGTCACACATACATGCAAGGTATGTAACGAATATAAGTTAAAAGATATTGGAACATTAATGCAGGAAAAATAATTTTGTTTTCTAGAATACTTAAGTTCAGCTACAGGCAGCCACTTAAGAGAGAAGATATCAGGATTCAACTTATTACATCATTTCAAATAGACAGAAAGTTAGCAACCCATTACCTTTGCTCTTTGCCATAAAGTTACCCATACTTCATGTAGAATCTATTCTGTGCGATGTGTCTTGTCAATAACAAGGAAAAGATGGGAGCTGACGGGTTGAAGGACATGGAAGGGAATGGATGGGAAGGGGAGGAGAAGATCTCGTCACAGTGATACGATGATTAGAAGATGGCCAATAAAATTTCAACTTACCAGACACAACTAAAAACAAAACAAAACAAAAAGAAAACATGGAATAAATAAAATCGAACAGACATGAAACAAACAAAAGCAAAGCAAAATTAAAATGATAAAAAAAAAACAACAGGACCCTTGGTAAGGACCTTAGAAAGCACATCCATATTCTGATCTGTAAGAAGTTTGTTAAGAATGTTGAACCACTTACTTACTTTGCATTTGATTTTTAAGCAGAACTATCAAATTTTGAAAGGAGGTTATACAGTAAGTGGATAACAGACTAAAATAGTGGTCACACAACTTGTGTTCTACTCCAAAGCTTTCCCACGAACTGTTGTGTAACTTTGGATTAAATGTTTTTAGTAGCATTATCATCTCTTTTTGTTAATTTCTCTGTGCCAAGAGCTTTCTATAATAAAATTCACTTGAAACCTCCAGTAAATGTGAACTTACATCATTACTGAAATGCAAAAGTGACATTTATACACTTTATAAAGGATTCATATATTTACAAATAGAAAATATTTTTTTCTGAGGTTAATGACTATTAAATATTAAGCTAGTTCAAAAAGCAAAAATATGCGTAGGTATTTAGCCCACATACCAATTTTTTCAGTGTAATGACTGCTGTATCATCTTAATACTCAGTGCTGAATTCCACATGTGAACTAAATTACCATTAGTTTTAAAAGATTCCCAACCCTTTTTCTCTCCCAAAATCTCAGTGCCATTAATACACTCAAAACAAAAACAAAAAAAATTGCAAAACATTGCATTTCTTAATAGAAGTCTTCCAATAGTAAATTATTCTTCAATCATATTTGAAAATTTCCATAATCTTTAAAAAGGCATAGATTCTGACAGACTAATTTCACTTACAAAGGAAAGCATTTTCGAAAGCACTCCAACAACACATCTCTAGTTTAAAGAACAGATTAAAGTAAAAGGGTAAAAATTATGAATTTTCTAAAACAGATACTCAGATACCAACACAGAAAGTCAATTAGAAAAAGGATAGTTGGTATAAAACAATTACACTAAACATCCAGAAATACATAATTTTCTTAATGCATCATACACATATCAAGTGCTTCCAAACTTTGATCTTGTC